CGAAAATGAATAAATTACCAAGTAAGCCAGCAAGATAAAACAAGTCATTGAAATCATCAATATTAATTCTGATGATGTAAAAAATGAACTATATTTTGAATAGAAATAAACGAAAAGAAAAAAAACACAGAATCTCTCTTTCACTCAACCTTGATGTCCCAGCTTCACTTTTCCGTTCTCATCCACCAAGTTTACGGTACCAAAAGTCTGCATTTTCAATAGAAATAAAATTTGAATAATAACGTCATAACGGGATTTTTCCCAAAGGAGGAAAAGACAAATCCATTAGCGTGGGAACAAAACAAGGCTGGAAACGGCTTTGAATCGATTGAGTCTGCTGAGATTGATGTGAGATTTCTTGAATGAGCGAGAATCTGCTTGGGACTTGCTCTTGTTCAGAAAAAAAGAATGTGGGAGTATTATTTTTGTCTATGTAAAATATCTGCCGATTCGTTCCCAAATATATGCACGTAATCAGATTATGATTCAAAAGTAAAGTCCAGCTTTTCTTCGCGTTTGAGTTGAGCTCAACAAAAGGAACGTGGAAAAAAATGTGTTCAGGTTTGGGATGGATTTGATTGTGGATGGCAGCGACGGGGAGGAGTGGCATGAATTATTGATATCGTTATGGTTTTAGACGTCGGCCTGACACTCTGATGTCCTTCCTTGACTGGGCTAAAAATCACTACAAGGCCCAAGGAGTTAGCTATCATGGAGCATTTTCTAACGTGAAGATCTCTGATTTTCAGAATAGTTTATTACACCAGACTCCCCTTCAGGCGATCTAGATAGGAAACCATGTAATACAGCAAAGCGTTGCCGACGTCTCAATCCCTCAGTTCTCTGATCCTACTAAATCAGGTAACAGAGATGCAGAGAAATTGAATCCGAATAATTGATGTTTTGCAGCACTTGGATTTCTTTGAAGATGTTTGGCCAACCAAGGGAGTGAGAACGACAAGCATGCTACGTACCATTTAAATAACACTTGCATAGGTATAGAAATTGGTTAGCGTGTTACTTCGTATTTGAGAACTCGTGATGGTGTTAATCCTATAAAAAAAACTGGATGAATATTTCTGATACGGTGATTTCAATACGGACATGGCAATTGTAACATTATATCACAAGAGATGCACATATTTTTATATGTGCTTATGCTTTTAGATATTTATGTAAGTACGTAATTCAAGCAACCGATTACTTAATCGACCCAGTTTCATCAATAAGGTTTTACATATTGGTATAACAGTTTTGCAAAAAGTTTGTTAAAAACAAAGAAACTGTAAGAAGCCCCAATTAGTTATTTTGCAAGTGAATATGGTCATTTTTGGATTATAGTTGGTGCTCATACATATGTAAATATATTGAACTATTTTGTTGGTTGATTTTTCATGTGTTTGTGGTGAATATGGGACAAATAAATATGTATGAGTTAATAAACGCAGAATAGATGGTGATCGATCCATAGTATTTGGATGTATTTTTTCCATTGAGAGAAAATATAACCATATTAATGCCTCCGAATTAAAGTGTAAAATCTATATTAAGAATTAGTGTAATAAGAATATGCATTACAATTTTTTTTCTGTGCAAATCAGAGTCATGTAAACTAAATTACTCTCCTTCCTTAAATACATACAATGTCATGTAAGATTATTCAGCAAGGAAGTTAACATCAAAAACTGGATTGTTGCTCTTGTTTTTGTTAGGAAACGGTAAGTCACTTTTTATGACTTCACTTCTGGTTATCGCTTAAGATTAATGACGGTAAAATTTATTATTGGAGCTGGTCATAGTGCAGCACACACAGGGTGACGACTTACATGACCTTTATGATCTCGATTCAAAATATTTGCGAATAAACAAGTCAGGTTGTATCTTTCCTGATAAAAAAATTAAGCAGGTTTATTAAGGGGTGAAAGCCCTTTATAAGATCGTTATGTCCGTCTGTCCGTCCGTCCGTCTGTCTGTCCGTAGCTCCGATAACTTTTGAACGAAAAGACATAGACACTTGAAATTTTGAACGTAAACTCCTAGCGTCAAGGGACAGGACGAGTTCGAAGATGGGCACTGTAGGTCACACCCATCAAGGTCAAAAGGTCATGAAATGTCATTTAAAGGTCAAATTGCATACATGCATCAATTTGAATTGAAATACGGATAACACACTTCTTTCACCCCTTGGTTACATTCGTTGTGACGGTTTATTATAATTTTACACTGGTCAATCGTACATCAGTAGATCAACAGCATTAAGTCAGAATGCTTGAAGCCATTAAATATGAAACGCATCTTTTCCACATATTTACATATTTATATTTATAAGGAATAATCACAAGAAAAATTATCATTATTATTGTGTCTAGTTTTAATTGCTGGGAAATTACTACATACTCAATGACTTCTTCCTGTTTAATGTAAAAATCATAATCACAAAATTTGGGCAGTTCAATTATCATTGAGAATTTGTATGGTTTTGTTGGATCCATTCCTGTTTTATTGGGCGAGTCTACGGCTTAAATTACTTGTTTTTGAATGTCAGATTTACGTATATTTGCGCAAGCGAATCACAGTAATTTCCAATAATGGTCGTACGGAGCTGGATTTGCAATACATCCAAACAAAACTCCATCGAAATATATATTCGGCTTGCCCCAGTTGATCGATTTCACACAAGCAGCGTTTTGCAGTGAATCGGATCCTTGATATGGATAGTCTTGTAATTCAAACGTGTAATATTAGGCTATATGTGGCTGTCTCCATGAAAAGGGACCTTATTCATACTTTGCTCATTTTCCACAAGCGGCAAAATACCAAAACAGAAAACTTTCAGCGAAACCCATTTCGTCAAAAAGCTGAATTGGCGAAATAAATATTAATGTTAAGCATTCCACTTCAAATTTAAAACTTAAGGTTGTACAGGTTTGCTTTACCTAATAAAATAATGAAATTTGCGCCTTGACCTTTTTGAGGACCTTAACGTGACCTAGACACTTAACCTGGGGCGATAAACCTCAAATTTAAAACGTAAGGTCATTCAGGCTTGTATTGGCCTATGCAAATCTATTATTAGCGCCATATGAGCTACAATACTAAATTTTAAAACAGTGTTCTAAATTTAATCAATATAAAAATTTTCGCCAAAAGGTCGTTTTGCCATATTGTCCATGCAGCACTTTGAATTTAAATAACTTTACTTGTAGTTAACAGATTGAGCTAAAATAAATAGCAAATTAAAGCCTGAGGCAAGAACTTTCATAATAAATTAAAGTCGCTAAAGTAGATATTTGGTGAATAAGGTCCCTTTTCATGGAGACAGTCACATATACCAAGTGTTATGAGATGCTTGGAGTAATGGTAGTCGTAAGTGGGAAACAAATGGAAAATCACTTTGCACTATTGCAAATAAATGGATATTTAAAGGCTCAAATAACATATTTATTACAGAGGAGGCAAAGGGAGATAGGCATTCGTCGCTTACCGTAGTATTTTTTGTACATATGTACGTGTGACTTCTCAAAATATACATATAAAATGCATCTCATTACGTCCAGGAATTATATGCATGATATTGTACTCAAACCGCCTTCGGTTTCATTTTTGTGTGTCTGGATTATATTTTTTCACGGAGTTGGAGCTGGTTTTGGAGTAGATTTTGTAACAAGTAGCACCATGCACACAAAGAACATTTTTTTAGCTCGAACCACACCATCTCGGCTAGTTGTCCTACTAAAAGAAAAACAAATTTCCTGGCGATTTCCATTTTCCTGCATCTGCCTGTTTTCAGATCACCGATTTTGCTCTTCCATTCCCACCAGCTACCCTTCTTTTTCCTCCTGCATATGCCGAGAACGGAGTAAAATGGTTGGCGTCACCTCCAAGACTCACATTCCTATGCCTGACTTCCACGGGTGACGTTTACTTTCTCGGTCGTCTAGTCGACTGCCATATCTGTCGTAACCCCACCAGAGATACGCCAACCAAGCGGATATGTGAGTCTCTCAGTTACTTGCTATTCGACGTGACTTATGTACCTGCCCTACAACCGTCTTTGAAAAGCTAGTCTGAGAATTACCGATTCTATAAATACGCCTGTCGTATACGAAGAAAGTGAAAGTTATATTTTCAATTTCATCAGTTTGGACATTTTTAACACAGTCACAATTTTTCGTGAAAGTATTAAAATCAAATAACTTATTGTGCATATACAGTGTCATTTGTTGGTTATACAACAATGAGACTCATGTGATACGTACATGCAGTTTGACTCTTGCTAATCCCTTTTCTGCAGTGAGAGTAGGACTGATTGACATTGATACTGTATTAACTGAATGATTGGCAAAAGTAGTGGCAGTGAATATTGAGTGATCAACTTTCTTGGTGATGTCAATTTATGCAAATGTACGTTCATACATACGAGAGAGTAGTACATACATACATACTTGAACAATTGTGATGTGACTGCAGGGTTACCTTTGGTCGGTAAGTATAACGTGCCATGAGGAGGTAGGTGAGACGGCGAGACTCTTCTTTTTCCTTATTATGCACACTATGTAGCTTGGAGTTTACATTGTAGTTATTTTATGCAAACAACAATGCCAACTATCGAATTGCTTTAATATCAACGTTAATGAAGAATAAGCATTGTGTCCGAGAATCTCATCAAACTGGTTTTGGATTTACCTGTAAATAACGAATAAATAGCAGGCTTACTGTTATATAGTGCAAATCACAAAATACTTATCTAATGGAATCCACATACATAGGTACATATATCTATCCATCATATCTTTCAATTGCAGTTAAGCATGAGAACCATAAATTTGTCATATCGGATCATAAACTTTGTGCAAGCCGAACTCAAATGCATACATTTATTTAATACAAAGGTATGCATGCAGAACTCAGTAGTACCACTAAATATGTGGCGAATGCGGACAGGTAGCTGAAATTAATATGAATGAAGCAGTGATATAAGAAGAGTCATATAAGTTGATTGTGGTTATTTTCATTAGTTTAGTCGTTAGAGCACATTTAATATACAGAATATATAGTGAACATAACTTAAACTTGTATCAAAAGTCCAGAAGCAAAAGAAATCATCATCGTATTACTCAACATTTTCGTCTGAACCAACGGTTGAAAAAAATTATTATACACATATTTCGCACAACAAAATTGCAAACAGAATATGCAATTGAGGGAAGAGAACTCAATACATAGTAATCATCACAAGCACATACATACACATGTACATGTACATATATTCTACATAGTAGGTACATGTCTGCGTTGCAGTGGTAGTGCATCCAATTATTAGATTCTAATACAATCAGTCTGCCTTTTCTCTCCATTCTTCAATGCAACGCTGCATGCTTTGTTTGTGTGTATATTCAAATTCATTAAAGTTAATCATTACAGAGCTGATTAGAGTCTGATAGCAGAATAAGTTTTGTTCATTTTCGTTTTAGAAGTAAATGGAGATGCACACAATTTAAGCAGTTTAAAAAATAGGATTTATTCAGCCATCTAGCATAATATAAATACCCTATGAAACAGCGTGGTCGGTGTCTTCAGCGTGCATACATATGCAAAAGTTGTACTTATGTATGTACATAGAATAGCCTAACCTCAATTGACCAGCTCATCCTCAGAGTGAAACAACAACACCTCTTCTTTTTGCTCATACTCAAAGCCCAAACTTCAAACTTTATTCGCAACATCAACTTGCCAGTCGAACCCACAAAGTTACGTTTGTGTTATAAAGAAAGATCCTCCCCAGTGAATACAAGATATTAAATAGTCGGGCGAGTTTCTATCTTTCTTCAGGGTGTGGAAGTGCGTGGAGAAGTAGTGAAAATGTTCCGTTTAATAATATGATACAGATCCTCGTAATGGAGCAGATATCTCAACGTTCAAAAGTTTGGAAATCATCTTAGGATTGGTGGTTGGAGAGAGCAGTGCATGAAAGGAAACAAATTTGATCTTGTGCGGTCTTGGATAATAAAACTTTTAGCTATCTGCTTGAAAACGCAGATATTGCTGTTTGGATTTTAAAACTGGATACACATACACATGTACATCAAGTGAAGGGCAAGGGAACAAACTTGGGTAAATTCCAAAATCCATAGTCTATAAAAATGTAGCCTTATGTACGGACATTTGCATAAATATGCACAAAAGCTAGAATTTCTCAAGTTTTAGCACATTTGTTTAGAGAGCAAAACATGCAGTTAAACATACAAGTATGCATGTAACTTATCGTTATGACTTTAAACGTGAGTTTCCGTTACGAAATTCTTTGCAGTATTTGTGCAACTAAAAGATCACATTTTGAGATTGTGTACATTTTGTTACATTTTACGTTTTGATCATGCGATATCTCATTACTTTGGATCGTTTATATCTTTTTTGACCTGAAACATTTGTCGTGAGGAGTTGACCATCAATTTTTCTACAAGTGGTCATTTAAAGTTTGAAACACATTCAACTCTGCTAGTAAATACAAAATATGCATATGCACATCAGGTAGTGGAATGAGTATTAAGATCCAGATTAAATCAGAGGAAATACAATAAACGACAGCCCGAGCACACGATTAACTCTGGTGGGAGACGTTATTCTGAAACTACCCGACATGCACACAAGTGTTTCAGAGCTTTGAATACAACTACTTACACACCGTGACTTACAATCAGTGCATCCGGAAGATTTCCTGGGGTGGAAAACAATAACAATAATAATTAAGAAACAGTCCCGGTTTCAGTCTGTTGCATTTGAACACTATTCCACGTACAAAGTAAATACACATGTACGGCAAAATCTGGAAACCTTCCTTCCATATGCTGTCATTTCATTATTCTAGAACCGTGTAATTAGGCTGGTGGGTACATTTCCGAATCTCAAGATTTTGAGGTCCAATTTAGAGTTTGCGGACTATACACCTACCCAATTGAGATTTTATTTTGATCGTGTGTTGTTCTGTAATTGCTTTTTCCGTCATTTACTTAGGATTAGCCCATTTCAAAAATATTTTCTTATTTCACCTCCATGTCAATGCGTAGTTTAATCTCAAACACGTTATGAACCGTGGCTTAGTTGGACTCTGGGGTTTTATTAATTTTTCAAAACCATGAACAAAAATTGCACAAAAAGTCGTTATTATAAATCGACATGTAAACAACCCTGAGCAGAGCAAGCCGTAGAGCAAGTTCACCATTACTACAGACTTGTAAACAAAACAAGTCTCAAGAATTTTTTACGCCAGTGTTGCTCAACAATTAGTAAGATTTACAATAAATTTATGATCCACAATTTTCAATTGCTTATGTATGCAACTGCGTGAACTTCGGATAGTTCTTCTTGCATGAACAACGTCACATCTCATCAACTTGCGCAGTTGCTCCGAATCTCATTAATTACCTGTTCATACAATAATGTATACAATAAACAACGAAAGATTGATATTTGTGACGCATTTGTGGGCGTTGGTAACTCGTGTTTACATTGACCATAAATTAATTGCAAGAGTTGATTAAGATTTATTATAAATTTCATTAAACTGTGTATATACATATTTCTGGTTCTTGTGTTATTTAATTGACACAAGTTGTTGTCAAATACACTCGTGACATGATATAATAATTGCGACTATATAATAATACATAATGTTCCACGTGTATTTTCTACCTCACACTAATTTTTTTACAGACGCAGCTAACAAAGACTTGGGATACTGCGAGAAATTTTCCATCCCTTCCAAATAAATGCATGAAGATCTATCTCCCCGATTAGGGAATTTTCTCGAGAACTCAGGCGAGATAAATAAAACTTATACGTAGTGCATCGCATTGCGAAAAACTTCATTGGGCTACATACAACGCGGGTGCAATTTCGTGAAATGGCTACAAGTGACAGAATAATGAGTGCGCCATAATCTAACTACGCAACATATCTCGACACCAATGTTTGTGGGCGAACTTCCTACGATGGACGAGCCTGGGGGAGATGAGGGCCTGACTTTCGACTTGGATTATTCCTTTCAGAAAATGAATTTATCAGCAAGAGAAATTACGCAGGTGAGTTTATTTGAATTTTTATTAAAAATTCAGTCGTATATGCATGATGCACTTTATGTATGTGGTGGTCACCAATCACAGAGATGGAACAAACAGCAATGAATTGTATCGAAAATTGTGACGCAAAAAACCAATTTCCGAAAACTTGTCGACTGACTAATGGTGAATTTCTTAAAGGACGACACTGTTCGCCTAGCATTGGTCATCGTTTTCATGATATCCCAAATATCCATATACTGTCATTTCTTTGTTGATTAATGAGGTGTAATAAATTTGTCAAAAATGACCTGCGAGATAAGAAAAAATCGAATTAATCCGCGTGATTAAATTGATTTTATTAACAAAATTTCCATGATGCAGTGAAGAAATGCGGAGAAGATCAAATTTTAAATTTTATGAGTAATAAAAAATCTGTCTCTTCTAACACAAACTCCTTTCATAAAAGTTATTGAGCGAGAAGGAGTTGGTGTTGATTGATGAAATTTATGCGTTTTGATAACCTCATACTTCACAAGTGGGCATTGATGGCGACAAGTGTTGAATTGGAATGTGGTTGACTTTGGTGTTATCTTAGGTTAAGTCATATTTGCGCAGATATTTAGTATCTATCTGTCCGGATATTCAAGATTCAAGCTCTGAAGATCGTTATTGCACTTGCCATGCTTCGAAATTGCTGCTCAACTCAACATATGCGTTAACCTTAAATCCCAATCCTTGAGACTTATGTTTGTCTGTATGTATCTTGTTTTTTCTTGATTTAGTTAAGGTTTTTCAACGATCTACGTATATCGTGCTCATTGCTTGGTGTTGAGAACTGTTGAGGAAAGAAAAGACAGATTTCACGGAAAGTGTGCATGCAAATACAGTAGCAGAAAGAAGGAAACGCATTAAACATAACGCTTTTGAAGGTCGCTCATTACACTTTAGTTGATATACATTCGCTTTTCTTGGTTGGTATGAAAAATAAAGCTGCTGAAAATAGTAGTAGATTCGTAGGTCGTAGTAATGAAGAAATTATTGTAGTAAATAATGCTTCACATTTACCTTTAGAGGGCAAACTTTATTTTATGTGCATTTTTTGCTCTTCGTACATAACGATTCCTATGAACTGGATTACTCGTTTTATGCAAAACATGATCAACTCCAGACTTTGACAGAGTACTAACAATTTTCTCTTCTTTATCCTGTTGATATCACAAAATTGACTCGTTTGTATTTTCACGGCGTAAGATGATTAAGATTTATCGTAGTCTTGCAAGTCTCGTAGTTCCCGTCAATTATTGAATACTTGACTTTGTTATCTTTGAAAAACTGGCAGATTTGTTGTTCCTTTTTGTTTGCTTACTCCTCATTTCCGCCCGCCCCTTACATGTCATTATCACGATGCGTTCATTAAAAAATTATGAGATGCGACTTGGCTAGAAAATGTTCCGTGTTGAACTTGTTTTGTTTTTAACATCTTCATTTTCATTCCATCTTAATCTGGGAAAGTGCTGAGGAAATCTTTTTCGCATCTTATTCCTTCGTTCAGGCAGCCAACCATTTCAATCAACAATTTACTTAGTCATGGTTTACTGCACGTGTGTGCGTTTCCTTCCTATAATAATACAAATTAGGGATTAGGCAGCGAAATTACGGATAATGAGCAACAATGTCTGTGTTCTATTTACTTGAAAAATTTGGTCTTGTTTTTGTTTTTGGTGTGACAGATCAATGAAATCAAAAGAAGCAAACACAGCACGTAGAGTTCAAATTTGTCATGATTTAGTTTCACAAAGTAATATTATGTGTACGTCAAATGTCATTTATTTCAATCTTGGGTGAAGTGCGACACGCTTTGCTTTTATTACAGTGTACCTAAAACCGAAAGCAACGAACGTTACCTACATATACAATCCGAAAGAAAGGAATGTTTATAGAATCTGCCCATATAGAATAGTACAGGTCATTGAATTATGTGGAGTCATCTATGAATATTTGTACTTCATGATGAAAGGCATTATGTAAATAAATACTACACTTTTGTGAATATTAAATATTTTATTTCATTCATTGAAAATAATCTAGCCCAAATTTCCCATTAATTAATACGGCACGTAAATGCATACAAGTATCTCTAATTGTTTATCGAATATTTGCATCTTTTCTCCATCGCTTGCTTCCACTTTATTATCTGCTTATTTAGTATCTCCGTTGTTGTGAAAGCACCCCACATCTTTTTTGGCGAGAGAAAAGTTTTGTTTTCTTTTGCAGAAATACTTGTAAATGCTTTTACTTTCGAACCGAGTCCTGTTTTGCGCTTAATGGAGCTGAATATTTGGGAACACTTAAATGCAGCTATGTCGCTTTCTCTTTTTGCAACTTCATTAAATCTTCTCATTTGAATTCCGTGGGTGGAAACTGTTAGAGAGCGACTTGCGTTGATAAAATATATCTGGATCAACTTTTGCTGACTCCACTCTAAGGATTCAGCATGTTCAACAAATTAAGGAAGTTGAACAGTTGAGATAGTAAGTTGAATGGAACAAATCATGAAAGCTTTCATCCGATAAAAAGTCTTCCACATAGGTTCCACACGACAAAATGCTATGCTGGATATATAATAATACTTATATATGTCGTTTACGGTGTGAGTTTCACTTAATAAATCTTGGATAAAACTTTTCTAGAAGTGGTTGAGTCATAAATGTTTCAATGGGATGGTCAGGGTTGCGCTATTACAATTATAAGATGGCTCTTGAGACAACTTTTTTCATCCGAAGGTTGGCAGATTGTAAATGAGAAGAGAAAGTTTATCGCGGTGTGATTTTCCGGCTTTTTTCATTTTTTCCTGCGGAGTATGGAATAGGACAGTAAAAGTTAGAAATATCAAACTTTTTCTAATGTGCAATATAAAAACCGTAGGAATATCCTAGAATACTCTGTTGATTCTGCTCATATTTTATGCGTGGGGAGGCGGTTTAAATTTTTTATTTAGTAAGTGAAACTGATAACTTTGCTCGACTTCATATATATTAACGGAGATAACCTAAAAATGTCTGATAAAATCACGCAATGCGAAAGATAATTTTTAGATAGTTTCCAAAAATATCTCAAAAGCCATATGTTCCACCAAAATAACTTTTACTTCCGTATAAATAATTGAAATTAATCATGTTCGGCTTAAAGTTAAGTATGTAGTTTGAGAAAAGTTGTAACACAAGTATTGTCCTTTTTGTTGAAAATTTTCAGTACAGAAAAATAGATACAAAAAGTGTGGGATTGTGGAAGTTTTGTAATTTCCCGATTCCCACACTGTTTTATATATTTTTTTGGTTTCGTGCCGAAAAATTATTCACATGGAGTTAGTAATTGAGTGGAGCAGCAGCTTCAATAATTGATTGATGATGTATTGATGGCAATTGATAATGTAATTGCAATTGCAACTCATACGTAGATTACAATTAAGTTTACATGCAACAAGTTCACCAAGAGTGTTGTGATTTTAAAGGCTGCATCCACATATGGATCTCTGACGTTCTCAGAAGAATGACAAGACATTAGTATTTTGACATCGGAAGTAATGACGAATCACTTTTTAAATGTTCCTAAGATTGAACTTGAATTTTCCCATGTGCACACATACTTATTTCCCTTAACACAGTTGCTATTATTGCACTTTTTCGTCAAGAGTTCAAGTATAAGTACAGCTTGACAGATTAAGAGAGTTGGTTAAATCGCATCACACAAGATCTTCTCCTTCAATGATGTGATTCTGCATCTTCCATATATGACACATGGCCGATCCTAGCTTATCCACTTGCATACACAACAACTGATTGATAATGACGTGCCTGCCTGTCCCATTATATCCATAATTGTGTCTTTCATAGCTAAGCCGTATCTTGTAGACTACACGGCCCATGTAACAATGTGTACAAATTGCAACAATAAAGCCTCAAAGAACAATCGTAATCTATCACCTATGATAATACACACTGACATAACGAAGGATTACGCCCTCCGTTCATCTTCGTTAACGCTGCTTGTGGCAAGAGAAGGAGAAATTGTATCTAAGCGGGGGTAACGCAGTAGAGGTTTGAAAAGTGTGTACATTTGAAGTATTTTTCAAATCTCTACTAAATACGTTACTTCCCCTGGAAGAAAAAATCTGAAATAAACATGATAAATTTCAGAAAAATTATCTTTATCCACCATCAGAGAGTTTTGTTGTTGGAAGCATTTCGTCCTCCTCCCCCAACAAGGTCGATGCGAAGGTTCGAAAAATGTTATATTCCAAGCGAGGGGGAAGATTGAGACTGCTCTCTCGCCCGTTATTTCTCCTTCTCTCGTCACAAGCAGCCTTTAGGCGAACGAATTACGATGAATGTGCAAATATGCTATTCAATTGTTGAATTTTGATTTAGGATTAGTTGACTGGGTTAAACCATCAAATGGAGTTCTTAACCGTTCCATTAAATGCGTAAACTTTTAGTCTCCAACGGCGTTGAATTAATTAGAATATGTCATGCAAATTAAATCCTAATACCATTTTCTTGCATATCGCAATTTGTCATTTCATCAGCAATCTTAAATACGAGGTGAGAGGACTCAAGCCTGATAGATTAATATGTGAGTTTTTGTTTAAAAACCTGCTAGTAAGTTTGTATTTGATTTATTTCTTCATGCAGGTTGAATCGGGGTATGCGTAGGTGGTACCTAAATCATACATGCCTTGTCAGATTCCAGTGGCATAAAATTTGCATTTAATAACCTAAATTGTAACACACTATCCTCTCTGCTGGGCGATAATGCATTTGGATTCTTCTTTGTGGCCACTCATATGTATTGAATCATGCAACCTGTCAGTTAGAACTTGGAATCGTACGCTTGAACTATTTTTATGATAACACAATTAGACGCATGTATGTATGTACATATGCATGCAGTTGTCTTGTCACCCCTCACCCGTCAAGGTGTCAATCTTCCTAATGGTTTGACATAACATTAAAGTTCTTACATAAATGGGAATATTGTTGTGTTAATAACTAAGTTGTTGTTAAATGAATTCCAACTTTCATATGTATATATTTTTTTTAAATATTTTACTGCGTTGTTGAAATTCATAATAACCTTTATCCGTAATAAACCATTAATCATAACATTCTTTTAATGTTTCTAGATTTACCCCATCGAAGAATGTGTGGAGCTTTTCGGAAATCAGTCCAACGTTCCAGCACATGTGGGATGTCTCGAACACGCTCCTGTCCTGACTCAGTCCACGGTCATAAAAAGTTTGATTCTCTCACTGATGGTGATTCTCTCTCTGGTGGGCAACGTGGGGACAATGGTGAGCATAAAGAAATCAAAACGCCAGAGATCCGCCCATATTTACACATTGATCTATCACCTTTCGATCGCGGACTTGTTTGTCACCGGCTGGTGTATACTCGGAGACGCCATTTGGTAAGTGCCCATCACAATGTCTTATCTTTTATGGAAGAGGACAAGAAGTGTGAAGTGACGGACGAAATGGAAGAGATGATGATCGAATTTACAGAGTTCCAAAAAAAATCCGAAAAAAAATTGTCAATATGTCAACCTCGCACTCTAGAGCTACACATATGGAGCTGTAGGACGCAAAACAATAGATTTTTCTGTCCTTCTAAACACCTTCAAAAGTGGAGCTAAGTAATCTTCATCTCAAAACCAAGGATTTGTCCGTTGATCCGTTGAAGGCGATGGGTGTCCAATTGTAATGGCCTTCTTATGCAAATAAACATCATTTGCTCAAACTGACCTTAGGCAATAGACAGATTTTCTCTCATTTGACTTGTTGCAACCGTCGAACGAAGAGTATTTTCCAGTCTTCCTGTAGGAAGGAGACATGAATTTATTGCGTTGAATGTTGACTTTCTCTGTGCATGGGGAGATGTAATATGGGATTGTTTGTCTGGGTCATGGGGCCTGGCAATGCAATAAACAGCAGAGCACAATTGTATTGACATTGTGCTCTGCTAAGTGACAAACAAAGGGCGGATTTTTATTTTATTGGAGAACAGACCATGTCGTGATGAGAGAATGAGAATGAGCATGGTGTCCACCGGTTCGCTTCAATTCATTTTGATTAAAAATGGTATATGAGACTGGACAATGTGGGGAATAAGACGTTCATTTCATTCATAGAACCCATTATTTCTCGATGCTGGTTCAAAATGTCTTTCTAGACGTTGGGCCGGACATTGCCTTTAAGTGAACTTGGATATTTGTATTCGGGGCAGACAATGCGTCGTTCTTGGCTGGTCGGTGGTGGCGGAGTCTTTCTTGATCCGTGGGGTTTTCTTGGACTCTGCGTGTCCCTCCAGTATGAGGCAGACGAGCGATCTGTTTTCATACTTTTAATATCGTTCATTGAGTGACTTATTACAACAAACTGTTATTGCAAAGAAAAGGTCAACAGTTGGCAAACCAGCGAGAACCATGCACACACTTTCGCTTTCTCCACTTTTCCAAAAGCCCGATGCCTCAACGGATGGTCCTAAATGCATTACCAATGCATTCTGTGTAATTTTATCAAACATGTTTTATGTCACTTTGTGGTAGGTTGGCGTAGCATATTGAATTTAATGAAAATGTATTCGTGTAATCTACAAATAGGCCTCTTTTTAACCCATTAGGATCACAGATATTTATCTTTTGTAGTCCAATTGCAATAAAAATAGCTATTTATCTTTTTACAAAAGACGGCATTTCCGAGTAAGTAATAATCTTTTTGTAATGTTCTTGCAGCGCGTCGTTATATTACGAAAGCGTTCGAGTTCTAAATTGGCAATTAAAATACCTCAGATTATGTTGGTTTCTAGCAATTTGGATTTTTTCTGAAATAAAGAGTGAGCTTTGTTGTTCATTGTCGTAAACCATTAATTATAGTATTATTTGATCGTTAGGGTTTTGTAATGTAGTAAATCATATCTTTGTGCACACAGTTTTCTGCCAAAAATATATAAAATTAACCTCTGGGGTGTTGGATGGGTGTGACCTGACCTGTGTTCCAACAACCCATTATTAAATGCAGACGGATAAATTACACGAAAAACTCTGTTGATGACTTTCGTTCATTGTGTAATGGGCGAGCATCGAATGTCCTTGGCTTGTGCACCTGGGGGTATGATTTACTAGTCTTTCTTTGTTATTTTCTCTGTTATAAGTATAAAGACAGCCTTATAGGTCAGTTTTCATTATGCGATGGCTGAGGGCTGGAAGGTAATTTATTTTATTGCCTTTAGCTACAGACATTTGGTGGTCATGTCATCTCCAGGGACCGCATAAGAAATTTGATGGAAATGATTATTTTGTGCTAACGATGAAATACATTGATCAGTAAAATCAATGAACATCGTGGATGGATACATACTTGCTATTTATGTAGAAGATTAGAAATAAGTATAAATGGAGTAAATGCGCATCATTCTAAGTCAAACTGCTAGACCATAATTAAATTGTTGCCCTATATATAACGAGAATAAGCAGATAGGAGTGGTTATTTTGCGCAAAATATAATTATAGCATGGACTCACAACTTTATGATAATTGCGGCATGGTTAATTTTATTATGATAGGGTTACTTTATCTGTATCAGACTGTGCAAGTGATTATGATACAGTATGACATGTCGTCTTTGCCCATCTGCTCAGTGATTGACGTCATTTTGGGAGTCAATTAGTTGGGAAGCATACGTACATACGTCTTCAAGGAAACATAGAAGCTATACTTAGATATGGCATGCATTTAAAGCCTCTCCAATTAAATGGGAAGTACCCTCCAAATATTTCAAAAGTACCCTACATGGATACCTCCCTCTTAAAGTCATTTTTTAATTAGGATTTTGGTGGCAAACTACCTCTTAAAATAATGTACATATCTGCAAGCCATAATCTTAGCATTTTATATAAAAAGCGTATTATTTATATACAATTAAAGTTAATTCTTCCATAAAAACATGCATTTTTAAAAACCACATAGTAATTAAAGCTGTTGTGCACTTAACAGCTCATCCACTCTTCCGCTTGGTACAGGTTTTGGGTTCAGGACAATATCGAAAAATTATTTTATAATTGCCAGACGAAGTTCATCTTTACAAAGAGGTATACAGTACCAATCATAGTTGACATTTCATCTCACCACAATCCACAAAACCACAATCCACAAACCAATCCACCAACTACAATCCACAAATCCACAAACCACAAACCTTTCCACAAACTACAATCCACAATTCCACAAACCACAAACCCTTCCACAAACTACAATCCACAATTCCACAAACCACAAACTACAATCCACAATTCCACAAACCACAAACCTGTCCACAAACTACAATCCACAATTCCACAAACCACAAAAAAATCTTGTCCACTTTCCACACCACAGTCCACTTTGTGGATCCACACTTTGGTTTGAACAGCTACATATGCTAATTACTAGTAATTACATACATAATTAAACACGTGTTTCAGAATTTTTCATAATGCTCAGTTGCAACGAAGTTATAACGTTATACGTGAGCGACAATTCGCATTTTTTACAGCGAAATTTTAAGATCCAAATTCCCGCTTACGGATTATAACATGGTTTTCAGTGTGCATTTTGAAAAATCATGAAACGTGTGTTTAACTATTTATCTAAGGCTATATCATTCACAGGAATGCCTCAAAACTTAACCATAACTATAAACTACAGACCTGCCCACATTGTGGACCAGTCTGTGGTTTTGTGGATTGTAGTTGTGGACTCCACAACTACAAACCACAAACTTTTCCACAAACTACAATCCACAAATCCACAAACCACAAACCCTTCCACAAACTGCAATCCACAATTCCACAAACCACAAACCCTTCCACAAACTACAATCCACAATTCCACAAACCACAAAAATATCGTGTCCACTTTCCACACCACAGTCCACTTTGTGGATCCACACTGTGGTTTGAACAGCTATGGTACCAATTCTTAAAAAACTGGTACACGTGCATGTCGATTTTTTCTCATCAGCACAGTAAAATAGAACTAACTATAGGGTTGCGATTTCCAGAAATTGTCTTAAAAAGGTGAAATTCGGCGCATTGAAATTAGCGATTAATACCTAATCGCTTCCAATGAAAGAATATGAAGTTACAAGTGAGCAAAGTACAACCAGTGACCCTATAGGGTGACCTATACCGTGTTTGAAAGTTATTATTTTCATATTAAATTTAGTGTGGAGGGTAAAAACCACTCATGGATAGGACATACAGCTTTGGAATTTAGCCAAAAATGTGAATTTTTTGAGACACTTAAACAGTTTTTTACATATGTCAGCGATTTTTTCAAAAAATTATATTCTTTTAGAAAAATCTCAGAAATTCGCAATATACAAATAATTCCCATCATTAATGTAATATGAAACCAAAGCATGTGGAAAGCTTGTTATTTGTCAGTGTGAAATATTAAAGCTATGTATTTTTGTCATTTTTGCAGTCAAACAAACTAATTGTTAAGCAATTTAAAACGAATAAAAAAAATGTTTTTCATACATATATACATCTTTTGGGGATCTGATTAAACATTTTACATAAAGATTTAGGGTTTTTATGAGCATATTCAACCGGACTTTGGTAGTAAGACCCATCACTGATAAGAAATTTATACAGATTTATGATATGCAAAATGAGAGGCTACTTCCATTTAACGGGAGGGAAAATTTAGAGCATTAAGAGGTTGCTTTCCATTTAGGTAACTTCTTAAATATTCGGAGGGTAATTCCCATTGTTTTGGAGAGGCATTAAATTACTTCCCTTAGATATAGATGAGAGAAGTATATACGGTCTGATCATCTGCTTCTATATTATGTCACTGCAATCAACGATTGCTTGATTAGATAATTTCGTTATCCAGATTGCTCACTTGCACATTCCATTGTAAGAAAAAAAGAGAAAGACAGAATAGATCTCCGAGAGAAAAATATACATAATTGAATTTGTACGTTAATTGCGATGCGACGCGTAATAATTTAAAGTCAGGAAATACGGCTGAACACAAAATCTTTGATAACTACGATGTTTATAAGGAAGGCGCAGCAACGTCATTTGAGCAGAAGATTCTTGCGCAGAATTTTAGTGCTAATTCATACTTTCTCCCTCAGTTTATGTCAAAAGAAATAAACCCATTTTTAAAGAAATACCCAAATAGATTACTCCAAAATGCGAGTAAAAGGCAAAAAAAGTGTAGCAACGTCACGTACAATGTCTGAAAGTGGATGCTTCCTTCTCATCCTCGGACTGCTCACTGGTTGGAAAGGAAAGAACAGTGTTTGAGGCTGACACGCTTGCCGGACGGGGCCCGGGGAGTACTCTATTTATTATTCCGTAACACAGGCACTTTCCCTTTCAATTTGTTTCATTTATTTTCTTGCCTGCTCGACAATTTCCCAAGACATAGAAGAATTTGTCGTAGGTAGACAATTGAAAATGCGGATATGCCAACGCCTCGGCTTCGATTACGTTCATAGGACTGAAAACACATTTGTCTACTGAAAATATTTCGCATTTCTCAGAGTTTGCCAACTTTTCGTTCCTCCGTATCCAACAACATGCACGTAACAAATTAATTGACAAGCTAAAAAGGAATGCAATATTATTGGTCCATGCATGTATGTATGTAAGTCAAGAAAAGTAATTTGGATAACGTGGCAGTGCGCTGGCTATTAATGGTATCGTGCTCGATAAGATAGAATTTCTTCGCAGTCGTGTGATGCAAGTCGTTGATAATGGAGAATGAATGCATGCTTCAAAAAACAGCAATGTTGAGGGAAAGGGCAGAGAGAAAGAACGAGGAGAAAGTGAAAGAATGTGACTGGCGAACTATACGCATATTTATATCTGCAGTATAAATCAGGGTTAGAAATATGTATGATGGTATGTTGTATACACAAAAGCCCTAAATCAGAAACTGGTCATGGCTAGTTTTTTTCTTTGAGAAATTCTCAATTTCTCCTGCAGTAAGTAGGCGGTTGCAAGCTTCTCGCAGAAGAATTCCTTATTTCGGACCCACCCACTTCAAACCATATTTTGCCATTATCTGTCAGATCAAGTCGACCACTTGTCTAACCACATCAGTGCTATGTTGTTATTCGTCCAAAGAGATAACATAGCACATTTGCGGTGAGGCTATTTATAACAAAGAACTGCACTAGCAACCAAGTCGTCTCAAGCTTAATTGTACTTATATTTATTATATTACATAAAGCTGTAACTCAACTTTTACACAATCTAAATATACTTTTAGCTGGTTTAAATTCAAATTTTCTCCTTCGTATTATTACAAACAGTCAGACATAATAGTTTTAAATGTATCTGAAAAGTATAACTGGTTGGGCTTTTAAACGATCGCGAATTGCAGATTTCGCAATAATCAACGCAAGTGTCCTGAGGGGGGTCGGCAATTAGCCTTTCATGTGCTACCGCCGCTTAGAGATTCTGGCTGTCTCTACTAATGAGTAGTCTGGCCACCCCATAAAGTTCATACCTAGAATGGTTCAGGGCACATTTTATTCTTCAAAGTTCCAACGTTGCATGCTTTTGTGGGAAAATCATGGAAAACAAAAGTCTTTCAGCTCATTTCATTATGATTGCATTGCGGAAGAAAACAACCGTTGGCAAAGCTGTAAAATGAGGATTAGTGGTGATGATCATCAAGATTATAGTATATACGAACGAGTCCACGCTTTCTAGTAGGCGGATAGGATGTGCTTTCTCAACAGGATTTCCATTGTCATTTCATCAAGCCAAAAAGAACCGATAAACTTCCTCTTGGGTCTCTCCACGATCTTTCTCAACATAATTCGTAGTCGACCGGCTTCACGTCATTCTTTCACTTCTTTTTCAGTTGGCTTTCCTGAAGCTTCTCTAGAATTGTCAGAATCATACAATAGATTTCACAAGATTTCGCAAGAAAAACTGACAGAAAAATGTCTCCTTCATGGCAATTGTTAGTACAGGACGTAAAACTTGACGGTTAAGAAGTATCTGGAAAGATTATTTCGAGTGTCTCTCAAGGAAAAAAGATTAAATCACCAATTTGAAGATAGTTTAATGATCGACTGTTTATTTTTTAGAGGGCTTGGCGGTGTCGCGACTTTATGTCAGAATGATTACAATAGTTATGTTTTTGTTGACTTCACGTTATCTTTTGCAGCTGGGAAAATGAAGGACAGTTAGACCAAGACCATGTGCATTTAGGATCCATTGTTCACAATTTAATTTAATGTCCTTCCCCCAAAGCGAATGCGTTTTAACAAAAGCTGGGTGAACTTGGGGCATACATATGCGACGTTTTGCAGATGCCATCAACTTCCTGTCGGATTTTCATGCTGCTCCTTCTGGTTTATTTTCAACGCTCTGAAGTAAACAAGTTCAGTCAGTGTCGGCATGTAATTTTACAATATGTCAAGAAAATATATTACGGATTCTCTACCCGTTGATATTTACATTGTATGAAAAAGTGATTTTTTTTTACTTGGTGCTTCTTCCCTGTCCTTTGTAGAGTGTGCGTGTAGCTACATACCGAAAATAAACAAAACTGAACTTGCTGCATACCAATACATGCAACTTGAATCGTATTTCGAAACCATGATTGAATTTGACGCAAGACGAACAAATGGTTTGTCATGCTGGATAAATACAAATGCCGAATAAATATAATGTTTCCTAACTTTTGCTCTGGTTATGTGTGCACATATCCACTTGTTCTAAGAAAAGATGGATTTACGTTTGTTTTCCTTTTCATGTTTTGCATTGATAATTTGAATTTAAAATAAGTTTGTGTTATGTGTTTCAGGTCGTTGACAGTCGAATGGATGGCTGGCAATATTGAGTGCAAGATATTTAAATTCTTCCAAATGTTCAGTCTCTACTTGTCCACATTTATCATGGTCCTAATCGGCGTCGACCGATTCATTTGTAAGTAACAAGCCGTCCTTTTCCTCCTTTATTCAATTATCTGCTTCCATTTGCGACCATGACGCCATTAGTTTATACACCATTTTGGCTTCCTACTTTGTTGCGGAATGGATGAAATGAAGCCATTCAAACTGTTTAATTTCCGCAATGAACAATTGTCTCATTTATGGTGGTCGTGGATGAAAGTCGACTTATTCTATGTGGGTAGGCAACTGCTTGGAAAAGAGAAGAACTTGTTGTTGAAAAAAATGAGACTTGTTCCCTTTTTTCGACCATGAGCTACATATAATTGTACTCCACAATTTATAGGCTAGAAAAGCATAAAGTGTGTACGAACTAGCGCTATATATAGATATACATCCCATCATCAATTTAAGTATTGAGTTCACTCTTGCATTTTCAAGATTTTGAATTTTACACAAGTTATCAGAGTACTTGGAATCTACGCAGTGAATTTAAATGCGATGCTATAACTCTAACTCATAATCTCATTTGCACAATATTACTCACTGGAAAATGTTTGACGGCATCCTAGCATTAGGCATAATTTCTGCTTGAACAGTAGTAATTGAACAACAATGTGACTTGCGTTTTGATGGAGAATTAAATCTTGCACATACATATTTACAGCTGTCAAGTACCCATTGAAGTCGATGCGGAATGGACTATGTTTCAAACTAATTGCAGTGTGCTGGGTTGCAAGTGCGGTACTAAGTTTACCACAGGTATGTGCAGTTTCTTACTTTGTAAAAATAATTACATTTGCTTTGCTTAGTGTGTACAATGTCCTGCGAGATTACTACGAACATGTTATTATGTATCTATAAGTACCCATTTAGGAACACACGCATTCGGAGACATTGAGTCACATTGTTCACCGAGCTTATCTTTCCAGTCGAGCTGTTTCTTTTGTGACAGATCATTACAACCTTGTGCATAGCTTTCCGCACCCATTCGTTTGATTTGTATATTTTCTATTCAACAATAAATAAATTTTAAAAAACAAACTTAGGTGAAGGACGCGCTTAAAATATTAAAACAAGAAGCATTACAAAATGTCATAATATCGTTTAATATTTATTAACTTTTACTTCACAGTGGGCCCAACTTTTTCATAATAATTAACAATAAATGTAACTAAACTAACGACTTGATTAACAAATAAGTGCACCGTTACAGGGAGAGTTACTAAAATATGCCAGAATATGAACAAATTTCCTCTATAACAGGTGTCGCGATTTATTGAAAGATAACCAATCACATCTTGCAAGCTTAATATACAAATACTACGTATTTCGAATAATTGTTCCAAATGCCTGAAAGTATAGCTTTTCTCCTGTATTAGTTGGGCCCACGGTGAAGTAAAGGTTAATAAATATTAAACGATATTATGACATTTTGTAATGCTTCTTGTTTTAATATTTTAAGCGCGTCCTTCACCTAAGTTTGTTTTTTAAAATTTATTTATTTAATTATTTTTAGTGATTTGTGAACTTAAATGCATAAAATAATATGCAATTATCAAATCTTAAAAGTTGATAATTCTTCTGTGGGTGGATGCGTGGTATACTAAAGTAATACCCCAGTGGGTGTGGACGTTTGGTATACTTATTTAATCCCCCAGTGGACGCTTGGTATACCAAATTAGTCCCGCAGTGGGTGTGTATGCGGCCCTACTAAATTAGTCTCCCAGGGTATGCATGCGTTAATATTTGTATTTCATGCAATTTGATCGCTGCTAATTGTTTCAGCCAAATATGCTAAACACACCTTACATTTTTCGCACACGTTAGCAACCAGTAACCTAACACGTAAATATACATACGTAAATAGGTTGCTTGATGGAAATATTTCAAAAAGCTCTAATTCCGTGAGTTTTCATCCGATTAAGTCCAACAAAGGCTTAAAATTTGCGTATTATCCAGGAGAATAATAAAAATGGCAAGCCCCCGGTCGGAAACACTTCCTTGATGCCAAGAAATGGATTTGAAACTTTAGGCATCGGACTTTCTACCTTAAGGAATTAAAATTTCGGAAAAAATAAAAAAAACGTATTTGTAAAACAGAATTCTCTGGTTTTTTTGTTTCAACATGTTTTCCATGCAACGAACGGTTTGGGCTACATCTCAGTGCGACCTTTTCAAAGTTGCAGCTGAATGCATACTTAGGCTTCGCCGTAACCATGGTGATCTTTTAACATGATCTCCTTTTGGTTACTTTTCCTTCACCTAAGAAAAATAGCATATTTTGGTACTAAATAGAATTTAGTTATTTGCTATTGTACTCATTTGACTATGAATACTTATGATTTCAGTTTGTCACTCTGAGAATTTATGGATAGTTTTCCAATTTGTTTTTATAGTTCTTTATAACCTTTCCTTTTCATATGAAAAAAACGCCGAATGAAGAGCTTGAATTGTAAATACATATCATAGTCGGTAATGCCTAAAGGAACACCGTACTTCTTATGAACTCGAGATATCAAGCAATAATACTAATGCCATTCACTGGAATATGTGTTCAGTTAGCCGTTGACCTTCAGGCATAATTGTGTTACATAACGCCGATTATTCCACCTAAAAATTCATTGCTTGTTTCTTATTTATATACAGAGTAAGAGATTCTTGTATGCTTGCTTCTTATTCAGTTTTCAAGTAGACTCCGAACTAAAAGTAAAATATAAAATTACTCAAAGTTAGATTATGTAAATGTTCATTTGTATCCCATATTAAAAACTACGTACGATTAAATTCACAACTACATACTTCTCCCCTTTCCCATAACTTGCATATGTACATTTTACTTGGTCTCACTAGTTAAGGCAAGGTTTCGGTTACATAAACCACCTGGTAGTCAATCAAATAGTCAAGGTCATAATAAAATTGAAAAAATAATTTGTGGAAGAAATTTTTTAAGTCTGCAAATGTTTCTGGAATTCTAGGAATTTACGGGTTGAAATAGCGTAGCACTTAAAAGTGTGTGTAATTTTGCATAAAGTGGACTAATTTTATCTGACTGCTCACAAAATCAACGAGTTAATTCCTTGCAGATATAATTAATGAGATATTCTATAATAAGCCTCTAGTAATTGGAGCAGATATGATGAATGAACGTATCTCATTTCTTCATTATGCTCCTATATTGTTTTTATCAAAATTTGACCCAGATTCCCCAGTTGCGCATGTTGATCTCTTCTCATAGTCGTTCATTATGTCAAAGAATGATACATAAATATCGACAAAATGTCGACCCTTTCAAGGACACTTCACTAGCTGCGAGGTGTGATGAGCGTTGTATTGCATTTCCAGCTGAAGTATTGTTCTTCCGGAGGAGTGTGTGATGCGAGGAATTTGCGAATACGTGTTATTAGTGTCACCGTGAATTTATCAATTCCCTTTACAAAGTGTAAAGTTCGTCTACTTCTTACAATTTGACATTATACACGTAGACACACTGTGTATTATAGCTGACACGAATTTTGTACTCAAGTGCACCAAATTCAATACTCAATTTATACGCGTTGCTGTTGATAGGCTTAGGCTTAGAAACCCTTGCTTGTATTGAAAATATTCGATTAATATGTTAACTTTGGACACAATATAATTTTATTTTTTGTCCAACTTCCACTTCGCAGGAATTTACGAACCTTACTCCCAGATTGATGAATATTGTAACGTCATAGATGAATATTTGTGCACTAAAGGTTTACTACAGCGCAATATGTTAACTGCATATTTATATCAATATCAATATACAAAGGTTGATCATCCACTCTCAGTTTCCAAAAGATTCATTCTAGTGTAAATAATGAGATCTCTTCCAAGATTAAACTTTCTCTTTTCCTTTTCTCTGTGTCCTTACTACATAACACTGAATTGAATTTGGGCAAAATTGCTACGGAAAAATTTCACTTTCGGTCAAACCTTATGATAATTTGTGTTTTCGATAAATCCAATTGAAATTTGGGATTTATTTGAAAATTATAAATAGAATATTATGTTGTGATGAACTCGTTTTTTTCTATTAAATTCTTTTATGAGTGGATGGTTTGGTTTTTGCTTTCAATCAATTCTCTATATGCCTTTTTATTTTATTTTTTTATGGTTGAGCCCATTTTGTGGTACAGTTTACACTAATCGTGGCTTCTTATTAGGTATTTGATGCTTTGTATTTCATTTATTTCTTATTGTTTATTGAACGGCAACAGACTTAAATTATGTACACAAATGAACTGTAGCTCAGAGCATATTTTGGAATTATCTCTCAAATTTTAACACTCAGTTATGTATTTGATTTGAAAGTGTCACTGATCGCTTTTTATTGAGACATATATCTACTTCGGCAAATAATTTTGTGATGTATACATATATGTTTAGTTATTATTTCTGAAAGTTAATATATAGTGCATTATTATTTAATTCTGACGAAGTAGAATTTTGAAACAATAAAAGTGCAGTAACTGTGCGTACCTATGTTCAGGATGAATAAAAGCAGCTTTAATACTGCATAAATATTCTGCGCCCACTCCTTTTTCATACAACTTCTCGTAAATACATTCTTTCGGAGACTTATGCTGCACGTTTAAAAGCGTAGAAAAGTTTCTCAGTTTCAGAACAACTAAACTTTGGTTTATGAAACTCAGCACTATGAAGTGCACAGCCTGCTTAATTTCATTTAGAAGGACGGGTTATGTAACGTCCAAACGGTTTATTGAATACCGCCAAGCCTACGAAAGAATGTCATTGATTTATTCAAGAGCATTATAAAAATTATACATAAATACTAGACTTCAAAGCAGACGACTTGAGAATGTGAGGATTCATTTTGCTGCATCTATATTTATATTAAATAATTATGTAGTTCTGATTAGAAAATTATCAATGTGGACAGAACTCGAGCACATTACTCATTTGCTTTTTCAATTAAAATCTCTAGAAAGCCGGACGAATGTTGACAACATTGAAGTTTGCCTCACGGAAATAATTTTACAAACTCAATTTCACATATAATCCTCCCACGCCGCATATCACAGATCTTCGTGATTGATTCTGACCCAATTATTTCCTCTTGAGTTTCGCATAAGAATTTAGGTCTCGAGTTTACAAAACTAATGAGTCCCCAAATTCCTTTGCTTTGTCGAAATAGTTACAACGATAGATCATCGCTGAACATGGAGGAAAGACATTTTTGTTAGATCATCAAGATTTTGTAAGATTCTGGTTATGGCACCAAACTAACTCCATCAGCAATAAGCATGCCCGAGGAAGAGTGAAGCTCAATTATTTTCTGTATTCTTCTTCGATTGGTACAAAAATTCGCCTAGAAAAAAAAACTCTGCTGTGTAACGCAGTGAGTCATGTTCAGATATGTTGTTATCGGGAAAAGTCAATAAACCTCTGTTCAACAATGAGAATAAGGACGTAATGACCAAGTTACTCTGTTCTTTGTTGTCTTGAAGTTTGATTGACTGTTGCGAGTGAAAGTTAGTTAACGAGTGACAGGTTAACACGTTGTTTTCAGGGATACAACATTACAGACAATTTTTCCCTACTGGCTACGGCGCACAGACTCACCTTAGATACATGTGTATGTAGCTTCCTTTCACCTTTTGGCCGAGTTGCTCGTATAATCCGCAGTTCAGATAGCTGGATGACATGGACATGCACTTCGTTGCGGGAATATAACGGAAGTGTAATGTACCGGAAAAATGTATACGTTAAGTCAAACCGAAATCTTTGTGAGGGAAATTTCAGTGGTCTTGGAGGCGACGGCTGACTTTCTAAAAAAATAATACTTGGGCGGACTGTGTTCTGAGGAAACTCTGGTGGACTGCGTTTCCTTAGGAGTCGTATTTATGTATAAGGAAGTAATGGGAAAACCCTGTCAGCATAATTTGCTTGATCATATCTTTCTCCATTGATAGCAAACCAAAACTTGGGGCAAGTCCCTAACTTTTCCATTTAGCTTACATTCATTTTATTGCGGTTGCCCATGGTCAATTCTTAGTTTCGGATGCGTATATTACAATATAAAGATTATAATGGCTAGTAAGTCTGGTCTCTGTTCTCGAATGCCTAAAGATAAATGATGAGGGACATATAAAGACACGAGTGATCCTACCACAAGAATATCCATTGCACCTACTTGCCTAAGTATAGAATACACGACATATTTATGTATCACGAGAATTAACTTCCAACAGTAGGTCCATGGAATTAGATGTTCTATGTATAAATTCTTTATCCGCTGAAGTATTTAATCATGAGAAAAATAATTATCCATGGGCAAAACAGTGCGATAAATACAAATCTGATCTTACATTGGGCGAAATTGAGATATCAAGAAGGTCATAATACTTACGCTGATTCAGATAATATTTGAATTGAGCTTATAATAATTCATGTCACGATCCAACTAAATCAGATATTTTGACCTTGCAGAATAATATGTATATGGATTCGCAAAGAATGTTTTCTGCTCAAGACGTTTCCCAAAACATCAATTGAGGTTGAAAATCTGGTCCAAAATTGAATGCAGCAGAGTAGAAAAGCTTCGAGTGATGCCGGAGAAAGCAACAATACTTGAAGTGAAGCTCTGAGAAAAGTGTCTCACTTTGCCTTCACGCAGGTTCGCGTAGATGGAAGCTAGGACTCCGTGTGGGATGAGGCAGTTCAGTTCAGTGCTAGGTGGTGAAAGTTGGAAGAAGTTATGCAAACTCAAATGTTTGTTGGTATGGATGTTTCCATCATATTTAGATTTGCATAAGCTACAAAAGTAGGAATATTTCTTTCATATGGACACGAGCATTTCAGAATATAAATGAAGTTGAAAAAAGTCAGGGGTTGATTACCAGGTATTCTGCGTGTGTTACCGTTATGCATGGAATTATTAATGTGAGTCCTGCCGTGAAATCTGAGCTTTTCCACGGAATAAACTCTTCTAGCGTACATTGACTTGCGCTTTTATATAAGAGATGGTTATTTTATGATAAGACACTATTTGAATAATGCAAATATTACACTTTTGGTTGGGATTTTACAATCGATTTTGAGACCTATTTTGACGTAGTTTTGATGAAATTGACCTGTTTTACGAGGTGAGAATAATCAAATCTGTAGCATAACGAACATCAGAGATTGCTCGCTTTTTTGTATCGGCAATGGAATCTGCAAACAACATCTTTTGGGACTATGTACGTTGTAGGTTGGTGGAACGTGATATTTTAGTCGGTGGATATACCGACGGGTTTTCAAAAAACCTAATCAGGCTAAGTAACACACCACGAATGCAAGCCAGATCAGAGACCGAGTTGGCGAGAGACTTTTGTTACATGAAGTCCGAACTTAAGGACTGGTCCGAGATTTAATTTGCCGTCCGTGATACGTGTGTAGTTAATCCTTCTTCAAGTAATGGAATTGTCTACTATTTTGGTTACAGAAATCCTGGGGGTGATGATCTGCACATGAACTAAATCAATTTTATAAAAATACTAATTAGTCAGAGAGAAAAAAGTAGTGACGTATATTACGTCTAGTAGATTAATCACAAAGATACATTTCTAGCATAAATATGTACGCACATAGTACGTTTTCCCATCGGAAGTGAGATAAATGTGGGTGTGTGTCGGGACCTTAAAAACAATTCGGTGTGTTCTATTTGCGAGACTTTGAGTGGTGTCTGGTAATTAGTATTTTGAGATAATTGAGATAACAACATCCTTCCAAGGAGCTTAATTATTTTCAAACACAAAGAAGAAACTCATGCAAATAATCCACTTTTTAATCAGTCATGCTTGACAAGTGAAGCTAGCATTGGTTTATTCCTTCCGAGAAGAAGTTTATATTTTAATTCTTTTGTTTTGTCTGCGAATACTTATTCCATGTTATGCACGGAAGTTTGCACTTACTGGAAGTTTATTCGTAGACAGCAGAAATAATTCGGCGACCTTTCTTCTTTTTCTTAATTAACACTTATGCATTGCGTAATACATAAGTACTTTTGATTTGCCCACACAACATCTTATTATGCAATGTCGTTAATCGGAAAAGTTAATGCTTGGATTATGAAATTCCTTTCGCGTAAGCTTGACCAATACTTACACCCACCTTGGTTGTTAGTTAGAACAACAACCAGGAATATAAACTACATAGATCTGTATTTGATTCAAGTTAAAATTGTGCTACTTAAATGTTGTCTGGATGCAAATTAACAAATTGGCCCATCTGCATTGTTAAGTTTTAGCGTGAGTAGTTTCTGTTATTCATAGTTGGCCACGCTTATAAGTACATGTAAACATTGTAAGCCTTATCTGTAAAGCTGCACTATAAACTTGTGGAGCTAGCAAAGAGTTGAATGGCATCAACACTGCTTTCAATTTTCTTCCATGCACTTGGCATTAATTGCAAATGGAAACTGGATAAAAGCAGAATTAAATAGTTCTCCAGGGGCATCCAGGGTTTTTATTATTTTTCTACTTGTGGCTTGGAAATCCATTGTACACAGAAGTCCGTAGAAACCACCCTCAATCGCTCGTTTAATACAGCTGGCTTTCTAATTGAATAAAAATAATGATTTGTTTTTACGTGTATTTGCAGATGGTGATTTTCCACGTAAAACAGGGTACATAAATTCCTATATGTAATGCTATTATTGTGGAGTGTTATTAATACCTAATTTCGTGTAGGACCCTTTGTGGAAGACTTTTTCCAGTGCGTTACGTATGGATTTTACACGGCGCCCTGGCAGGAGCATCTGTACACCGTATTCACTCTGATCTGTGGATTTCTCCTTCCTCTCTTCATCCTTGTGACCACCTACATCCTCACCGTCGTCACTCTTCATCGTAAGTGTCGCTACTTGTAAATGCTAAATGCATTTCTCATGCTTTCACTCTTCACCTCTCAGAATATGCATATGATGGGGAGATGTCAAGACGAAATTGCATCTCACTCCTTATATCACAATTGTGCTCAGCCCTGCAGCACTGTACTTGGCAGATGTATGTATGGAGGCTGCACAGGATACAGGATCGGGTTTGCATAAAATATGGAGATTTCAGTCTAAAGGGTAATATTCTAAATGACACTGGATTGACGAATAGCAGGGAAGAAGTTGCTACAATATATATATAACTAAGCAAAAGTTGTTTGCGAATCAGGGTAGAGCTTCGAATTAATTCTCAGGATTTACTCTAAAAGTTTTAAAGGCCCAAGAATTATCATCGCGTCTAAAGTTTGAACTTTAATCAATGCTTACCTTGATGATCAAAACAACTCTGGAGCTCCAGCTCGGTTACTCTCAAGTATTTTGTTGCCGACCTTTTGACATTCTGAAATCGTGTACAACTTTCATACATACTCCTACGCAAGCTGTATAAGAATTTGCCCTTTGCATACGAACTAGGGTGAAATGGCTTGGAAGGAGAATGCTAATCTTTTATTTTTACATAATAAGTACTGAGAATTAATTTGCAGAACAATTGTCGCTAATTTACGAAAGTGTGCAACTGACTATGAGTGAAACAAGTTTAAACGGTGTGTGTTTGGATGGAATAGGGAAAAACTATTTGGCTTGCTGTCAGTTATTCTGCAAATTAAAAGTTGGTATGCTTTGCTTACTACTATTTTTCACAATAACATGGTTGTATAATTTCCAGAAACCTTTTCTGCCTTTTGTGTTTTTTCCGCATTTAATACCGGGATTAATGCCGTAGTCTCTGAGAATGCAAGTTATTACTCTTGAAGCGATTAACTTCTTATTAATATGTAGCTACATATGTAACTTAGCCAACCTACGTAAAACATTTTGTGCTGTACATATTCATGGATTATTTTTTAAATAATTCCCAGATTATCTCATTGCATGGCTAGAATTCTAAATATAATGTTATGCGAATCTTTTGTTTCAGGTAACGAGGAGATCTTGGATCACACTGGAACATTTCGTACTCTCATCGATCCAAGTAATCTCATTTCCAGACAGGTTTTTCATTTGTTAACGTGTTCTCATGCTGTCTTTCATTCATTACAGATCGGAGAAAGTTACTCAGAAGGGCCAAGATGAAGAGCCTGCGAATCTCGGTTGCCATTGTTGCAAGGTGCTACAGCATATTTAATAACTTTTTTCGAGCATTTTTCCAGTTTTATTAACAATACAACAATGAAATACATGGACAACAAAGCAGTAAGTGTCGAACAGAGACAAACTGGTAACATGAGTCACCGGTGAATGGTGACCTCCAACTTCTATGGAACTTAGCTTGAACTTACCTTAACATATACCTTTACATTTTTAAATTATCATTTCTTAAATAACCATGAATTGAACATATACTTTCACTTAAAATTTCAGTTTCATTATTTGCTGGACACCCTATTATGCGGTGATGATGGCGTATCTCTTCTTCGTCCCTAACAAAGATGTAAGACCTCGTCAAATACTCCTTAGCACATAATCATCTCTGTCTCCACTTCAACGCCAGACGTGGCCAAGAGCCACACTTACATAACGGGTTTAGCTACAAGACTTTCTTTGACTGGATTAGTGTTAATCGCATTCGATTTGTTAAGATTCGATTGGCAAAGTTCTTTTGTTGCAGCTTGAATACCAAAGGAAATTAATTATAGCTCTCACAATGGCAAGAATGTTACGTTTCAGGCCAACATTGTCGTTTTATAACAACTTATCACGTTAGCTAATAATTTAAGGTGAAGGACACGCAGATGTGAACCGAATTGGAACAATTAGTTCCTACTGTGGCTGCATCAGAAGGACATGTGGACCATTTCACGTTTATGGCCAAAAACATACTACTAAAATTGCCAGAAAGTAAAATATTTTTTATGTTAATTTCAGCAAATTATTAATGAAGACCTCTACTCTGGTTTTTTCTTCTTCGGGATGAGCAACAGTCTTTTTAATCCGCTTATCTATGGGATATTTCACATTTGGACACCACGGAGAAAGGAGTTACAGCGGTAAGTGTATGCGTCCCAACTATGCTTTCTTTCGCCACTGGTGTCAGACCTCTTGCCGTTCCCATGTTGAAAACCAATTAGCACCCCACGCTACCAACAGCACGTGCAGACTAACAGCGTACTTTTGATGGTGCTATTATAAAAACATGTGTATGATTTTCAAGTAACAAATCGTGATTATGAATGCACTTCATTATGAGTTACTTATGAGTTTGCATGTTAACTCGTGTTTTGACAATTTCTTTTGCTGAAATTCCCTGTAGTGAATATGCAAACATTTTCGCTTCTCTACATACTTTTGCTACTATTATTTTATGTGTGTATCCCCATACCAGTAAAATGTAGTGCAGTTGTTGAAATTTTGCTTATTTTGTGTTCCACCCTTGACAGAGAAATATCTAGCCGAAGGACGTTGTTGACCAGTATCAGTTTTCATCGTCAGAGATCTAGCGGAACTTTACTAAATGGGTCTCTCCTTAGCAGGAATGTGAACGCGGAGTGCGGCCAAGGTCACTCAATGGCGGATGGGTACCACTCCCAACAACACCATCACCACCTTCACCGCAACGGAACATTTGGAACGAGTGGGATCTCATCAAAGGACAGTGTGAGGACAATGAGCACATCCTTCAGCAACAAACAGACCAAAGAGGAGTTTCTGAATAGAAAAAATAGTCTGAGTGAGCAGAACAATCACAATGTGAGCCACACCCCCAATCTCCACAATGACAATCAGGCCACCCCTTCAGCTAAAGAACCCCCACCCGAAACTCACATCTGTATCTGCAACAAAAAGGGTATAACTTCCCCCAATGCCATTGAAAATCACGTGTAGATTGCCTGATTTTCTATTTATGAAATGGGATAAGTAAATGTTTAATATTATTTTGTAAATTCTTTTTTTTACAACCATCCATGCACGAATAACTTTTAGAGAAACGGGAGTTCAAAAATATTCCTTTTGTTATGCCTTCCTTATAGACTATTACTTTTATGCATATGTATGTTTTTGAGGCGAAACAATTATCAATATAATAGATCTGACCATTTTTTTACAATCAAACCACTCAAGTTGCTTTGTTTTTAAGCTAATCCTAAGTATATGGACCATTACCTTGTTACCTCTTAAGCTTAAAAATATATTCAGTCTCGTGCTACAAGAAACTCCAGTACATATTTATGACCAAATACTCGCATTATCTCCAGTTTTGTTTTATGTCTTAGTGTTGCATTCTTGTCAGGTGTAAGGAGGTGATAATATGTAATACACAAATGCCGTACGTCCTCGATGAATTTTATTTTACATATTATTTACGATTGTAATTGAGGTTTATGAAAAATGAGAGGAACGGTGAGAATGGGATTATCCATTCTAATTGGTCCGATTTAAGGGGAAGATGATCTAGTTCGACGACGACACACATTTGACTTACAATAGAAATCAACCCGAATTTAACTGGAATATATCGAGTAATTACTTAACTTTTAGATATACACTCTTTAGAAATATACATATTTATGTAGCACTTAATACAGGACATACATTTAGGTATACATTGTTAGAAAATCTAGTCAGGTAAGAAATTAATCCAACTCCTTAATTAAATACATAGATATGTGTGTAATAATTGCGCAAATGACTGCAAATATAGAGTTGTCTGTGAATGTGGAATCTCTTTCTTCATTTACAGATATATCTGCAAAAATAATTTCCATTAGATAAATGTAGCACTTCGAGGCTCTCTCAATATTAAATACTCCGAGCATTTGAAGGGGAAAAAGTTGATAAATCAACTTCAAACTTTATTTCCATTTTTGTGAACTTTATAAAGTACTCATTGATTCCTTTTTTCATACAAACAAGAATTTCAGTTTAGTACAAATTATTTTTAATTTTCCTTCGATGCACCTCAAAATTTAAAGAGCTAAGCTAAAAATAAATAAATACATACACACATACTTGTATTTTTTTGACTCTGTAATTAGGTGCGTTGCAGTGTTATGTTGTACCTGTAGATATTTACAGGTATGTACATACCTATCACCTATGTAGGTACACACAGATTTAACCTGCATGACATATATTCCACTTTGAAATGTGATTACATAACTTATGATTAGTCATATGGTAGAAATACGTACCTGTAAAAATTTATATGAATATGTTTATGAAAATTATTTATGCTGTAATTCGACCCTCCCAGAAAGCTTATTAAATAAAGCATATTTATTCTTCCACCGGGTTGCATACTTTATTTTTATGTTGTAATATATAGAATGGTGCTGCGATCTATTCCCAGAAGACGTATGTTTACATAAACAAAGATTATGCAATGATCTCATCCTCAGATGAGGAACATCAGCATTTATATATTTATATAAAAATATCTTGATTATGAAGGAATACATAAGTAGTTACTACGTATGTACTTATATTTCTGTGACTTCTAAAGTGGGATCTTGTAGTGGGTAACCCACTACACTTAATAATTTAACGGATGATGGAATTAGCTAATGGATTATGTACGGTGAATTCACAACGGTTTGCATCTCAACTATTACATAATTAGTGATTAAGTATGTACCAACGAAGTGCTTTCAGGAACATATAATTATTTGTTCTGAAATTTCCTCTTAGAAAAAACTCTGATTTCAGAATATAGAATGTGTAATGTTCTTTGTCTGGGACTTGTCAGAAATTGCATAAGGTTTTGATACATGTAAGTATCATTATGTGTAATATCCGGGTCTAATATTATACAAAAAAGTATCAAGTATCTATTTACTTTATTTACTGGTTGTCAGGCTCTTGATATTATTTTAATACTTGTTTAACACTCAAGACAATTTCACAGTATGCCGTGCACCAGTTGTTCATCAATGATTAGGATTTCTTACGTCAATACACCGTACATGCATTTTTAACTGTGACCAGCTTAGCAGAGACTAATAAATTACACATCAATGAAGGATGCTTTCCCTGGTGACTTTGATCGAACATCTACACGATGAAAGCTAGAGAAAGGTCAACCTCTTTGGGGTTGGTTGGGCGTAATTGATTTCTTGTCCCAACTTAGACAGGACACATCACCGACTGAGTTATTAGATGTTGGGTTACCTCATCTTAATACAGCCCAAATTCCAAGCAAAACAAGTTATAATTGTAAAAAAACAGGTCAATATAGTGATTGACACTTGTAATATATCATCAATAGTACATACACATCCTTACAGTATGCATATGCAGGTTAAGTTGAGTCAAGTTGAGTGGGTAATTGGATGAAAAATCGTCAAATTACCAACCTTTCCTAGCTAAATTGCAAAATAATACGATATTGTTGGCGAAAAATGACGCAATGTTGACACAAGTTATTTTTCTTGAAAACACGAGTGACAGTTTGGATGACATGACTTTCAAGACAAAGTCATTACTTTCACCTAATCTTTTTGATCGTCAATTCTTATGACTTTCATTCAAGAGAGTTGAATTTGCAACTTGCGTGGTACGTAATCATGCACATAATCCTGTGTTGTTTTGGCATAAAAAGGACCTCGGTTTGTTAAAATAAATTGCAACTACAGATGGAAGATGCAGCCTGGACTTTATCCTTATTGATTCGCGGAGGGAAACATTTATCAGAGCGCTCTCAAAGGCATTCATAACAGGAGTTTTTTTATCATAAATCGACTTGGTGCATTAAGTCTTTGAGCACACATATGTATTTCGTTAAGCTGAGAACGTCCATTTAAAGATTTGGTAGAAATGGTTTTATGGGCCGGAGAAAAACGCTCGAGTTATTGCACTGCTTCAACCTTACGCTTCACTTGTGTCATTCGAAAATATAATTTTCTCCTAATGTCATAGGACGCAAAGTGACATTAATTTTTAGATCCATCAACTATTATGCAATTGGTTTTCGCTACCATGTAATAACCAATCGCGGAATCAATAACTCGCCCTGAGCTTAATTCGCCCTGAATAAATCAAGGAATTAAAATTATCTCCATAATCCGTCATTTTGTTCTAGAGAGAGACATTACGTGACTTGGCTCAGCCTCCAAGTACCTAACTTGAACATATAGAAATATATGGTATCTACTAGCGTTAGTATACTCACAAGTAAGTAAAAGCTATCCACGACCTAACTTTTCCCAGGGTGACGAATTCCAGAAACTTGTTGTGGAACATATTTGATGAAGCTGTGCCTCAACTTGGAAAAAGTTGTAGCGACATTTTAGATAGATCCAGCATCGCTGCCAGCGCCTGGCCACACAAGATAAACGTGACCAGGGAGACCTGACCAATTCACTGTGATTCAATTTGTGAGGTCGGTAGAGCATAGGCAAAGTCAACACAGTCAACAGTATTACATGCATCATCCGCTTATTTAAAACCCTGTCCGTAACATACATACACTTTTTCACTGGCTCAAACAAAAACTCCGAGAACAGCTCATATTCTTCAATTCTCGCTATCTGTGATACTCGTGGATTTACATTGTCATCTCATCCTGCAGACACTATGCCAAAAATAAAGGAGCTTGCCAAAATCGATCCAGTTTTGTGTCTCCTACGCTTTCCTCCTTATTCGAATGAGAAAGAAGTGCGTGTGCAGTTTTGCAAGTTGTATAATACTTCAGTAGCTCAACCTTGGCTATGTTGAGGGTGGTGGTTAAAGGAGGAAGGTCGAGAAAGTCATGGTCAAAATCTAACCGCATTTAACTTTTACTGTCCTCAATACAGACATTGAAACGGAGAGTATATTTCAAGGGAGTAGATTTATGTGGGATATACGATAAAATTATTCCCAACCGGTAACCTATTATATTATTCAACCGGTCGACATCTGGTCTGGATGTTGAGCAACGACCACTTGAACATACAACAAAGATCTCATCCATTATGGTCTTTTTCGTAGAACCACTTCAACCAACTTCACCAACCAACCAACCAGCCAACGTATATAAATAATACTTATTTTACTGTATGTATAAAACACAGAGTGGGGAAAGTGGAAATCAAGAAACTGCGTGATACCAGCAACAAAAGAATCTAATCTTTATTGTTTGTGTGCTCAATTGTCCCACCAGATCCGAATGACAACCAACTTGAAAGAGCAACTCCAAGAATATCGGAAAGTGGAAATGCAATTTCGTTCGTGGTCCCTTTTGGCTTTTGCTCGTTTGTCTTTATCAATGAGAACTATTTGCACTAGTATCGAACATAAAACTGGATAAAGTGCTTTCTTCGCTTTTGCTTGGTCATCAGCGAAACAAGAATATTGGATTTCTAAAATTTTGTCTTTTTATCGCTCTCAGGGAATACGCATAAGTATACGCATGATTACTTACCACTGACAGTTTAATACCTTTGAATTAACGATTGTAGCCAATCGACAAATCTTTTCAAACTGGGCGATGGAATCTAGAATAAGCGTCATTCTTTAAATTTAAATTATGACTTAGGCTTGATATCCATTATAGCTTATTCTTGGTAAACAATGAAGAGAATTATGCAAATCTAATGCATATTATGTATATTTCTCAGTTAATGATGCTGGCTGAATTGTTTTACTAGATTCAAGTCATCCATTGCATATTATCAGTATTATTTTGTCATAAACTGTAGTTGCTGAAGTTTCTCGAATCAGCCTTGAACTTAATCGTCCACAAACTGCGGTGGATGGAATCCTATCATCGTCACATTATCATTGGTAGTCCTTCACGTAATGTGACGTACTCATCGGTGTCATTTATAAAAAACAGGCATGACGGAGGTCTAATAACTAAACGGACTTTCACCAGTTGACCAGTAGTCGCCTGCACCACGACTAGCAGGACTTTCTCCAATGGGCCGGCTTACCCGAACTCACTCCACAACGAGGCAGAACCACTTTTCAACCGTATCAGATTTTTACATCATGACATGAAACATGTGTTACCTTATCCGGTTTAATGGACAGCAAAGAAGTACCGTTCTACTTTTCGCTTCACAGATTTCATTTACCCTTCAACACATGGTTTGTACAAGTACGTATATAAATACATGCATATAAATGTACATACTTAGGATTAGTTCGAAAATAAATTAAACGAGCTTTGATTCCAGATAAAGAAAGAAATAATCAACTGACACAATTTGTAACTACTTATTTGCACTTTACCATTGGAAATGTTGTATCGTATGTGACAGGCAATTTGTGAGAATAAAGCTTCATTAGTATGAAAATAGCTGAATTGGTTTGGCTGAACTTGACATTTGCCTTGACACAATCTTACGCTCTACTAAAATGAATTATGGTAATGTGCAATTACGTGCCGGGGTGCATGTCGCTATACGCATAAATAAATTACACATGGAAGGACAGGAGAACAAGACAATAGGTGGGTGCGTATGTGTACGTAGGCATCTACGACGCATCTTCCAACGACGTACTTATAAGTACGTCGTCATCTATAGATGGATAGGCGAAAAGTAACATAAAACTGCTCAACCTTCGTCATGACTTCTTATTCACGCACTTTCTTTCTTGGCGTTATGTGTATATAAAAGCTCTCATCAAAAGCGTAATGGTTATTTTAACTAATGGACGGAGAATCAAGTCAAGCAAAACAAACCGACACAACAGGGGGAAAGATGTGATAATATCTTGGTTAACTCACGCTGAGAGTGATGGAGTGAAACCAAGTGGAATTGACCCCAATACTGCGTGATAGCCACGTGGAGTCCATCCATGTCTCCACCTACTTACATACACCCAGGAAACATACGCACTTGGATTTTCACAAAGAAGGTCTGCAAGGAAAACAAATTGGAGAATACACTTTCATTACATCCCCTTTTAAGTTCCTGCGATGGCTACAGAATCTTGAGCAAACACAAGCACGACTCCCCAAGTAAGAGATACTTTATCCACTCTATCTGCAAAAAAAACGTCAAGGAAGCTGCATTGGTTCTGATGAAATTTGAAACATTGGTTGGACGGGTCTCGTTGAATTTTCTTTCTTTTCATTAACTCGTTTTCTTTAAACATTCTGTGTTGACGTCTCCTTTTCTTGCGCTATTTTTGTAGCTATTTTTATCTCAAGTCGTCCTAAAAGCCTGCAGGAATTTTTAACTAAACGGGGTGATTTTAGGGTCAAAGTCACGAGTAAAATATGTATAACGCAGACTGGCACATACAAATTTGAAAGACGTTTGAGTACAAAACTACGCAGTAATTTCAGACTCAGACTCAATTTTCTTTTCAAAAAGAACAAAAATGTCTACTGACCACCCACCGAAAAGTAAATGTCAGCAAGGACAAAAGGATATCCTTCAATTTCTTTTGAAATTACACGCTGGAGGCAAACAGTTGGAGTGAAAGCGGATCTCTGTGGTCCACAGACATGGCAAATATTTGTGCAATGTGCATTCGTATATCTGTGCACTTGATAAGCATGCAGAAATACGAATGGTAGTAAAAGTCTAAACCTACTTTATAAAAATTAGACTTGATTTAATAAAGTTGATGACTGATGATTCTCACGGAATATGTATCTTAATCGGATTTACTTAGTTTATTAATAGAGCAAGCCTCCTTTCTTTCATCATATGTAATCCCCAGACTGCTTTCACAATGGTGGAGAAACTACAATAATAACAATGAACGAGGCTCAATGACCCGTGGAGATGTGGTTTCCTCAAAGCAATAAAAGAAAATCAGGTTGGTCGAATTACTGCTGGATCAACTACAATAATGTACTCTTTCATTCAAGAATCATGGAATCGTGGGCTCTCACTGTTTTGTCATGCTCTGGAATTTCAGTCCCACAGAATGAACGAGCTACTGACTGCTACTATTTAGTTGTCGGTTAGTTTTAGATTAATAGTTGCTAATAAGAATAACTATAATAATTTGTTCCGACTAATTTTATGTTGCCGGTGATGTCAACGGTTTATACAAAAAGCTGTGAATCACTGCACTGATAGCTGTTATACTACACATAAATATGTATGTATCCATACAATATAAAAACTGAAAATCTTCCTAGATTTGCTAGCCTTTGTTAAAGCCACTGATTACTAAGATCATAGTTATTGCCAAGTTTGAACTGTCGTGGTTGTGCACATGTATTTATTTATACCATTTTACAGCCTTATTTGGTAGATTTCAAAGTTAAAAGACGGTACAAAATGTTGCTGATCAGTTACGACTTTTACAATTCATTTCCGTTTTGTGTGAACAATTTACGACCAGCCAATAACAAAAAGACAAATGATTCATGGCTTTCAGGATGTATTCAGAATGTTGATTTGTTTACTTTTAGGTCAATGGCGGTCAAAAGTGGAGAGTTTTTTTTCTCTCCAGTCATGATCCATCCAACACACTTGAACTGATTTGATTTCTTTGGCACTGAATCGGACTCCTATTTGTAACTGTAACTGCCTTTGATGGGGACGATGCCCTAGTTTCTTTGTCCCGACTCACTGTTACATTGTGCGTGTAATAATGGACATCGTAATTGGGATTGTGTGTGGGAGAAATTGATGTATAATGCGGGTTCGAGACTGGCGAGTTGGCTCAAGACTACTTTCTTTGCTTTCTTTGACAGATTTTGTCTCTGGGCCACTTCAGCCTCCTCATCAAACGCGTGTGTACAGATATCTAGAGCCTTCCTGACAACTCCACTTCTACACATTTTCAATGGACTCTCTCTCTATTGCTTTTCCTGGACCAAGAGACGTCCTCAATGACATGACTAATTTGCAGAGATTACAAAAAGAATCTTTCCTTGCTTCCGTCTGACGACAGTAGTGTCGCAAGATGCACATCGACACTTGGAAAGAAATATGTACTCTTGTGCATGTACATACATATGGTAGTCGGAATTGAACCTTTGCGTTTTCAAACTATGTAAAGTTTCAGACTTACAAATATGAGTTATTGTGTACACATATGGATGCAAGTACGTAATAGGGACTAGGACAGATAAATGAATGCTAGGAGCTACTGTTCTAATCAGTCTCATGAATATGTACTCCCTATGGCGTACAAGAGTCGTTATACCTATCAGATCCCCACATTTTAATATTTGACTTTGTTTTTTATAAATAATTCATGATTTCAGGCAGGATGTATAAAGTCCCTTCGATCTTAAAATGACCAACTTTTGTCAAAATTCGATTAAATAATTAGTGGTATAACTCTTCACAAAGAAATTTAAGGGAACAAAATCATTGGTGAATTTTGTAACCTTGAAGCCTATTAAAAAGAGTATAAAACATACATGTGCTTAGATCATAGTGAAGCATTTCAGTATTCATCATACGCAGATCTGAAGGCATCATATCTAACATGTTGAAAGTACATTATTATCAAACTTTTGGTCAACCGTTGTGTCGGCGGATTCATTAATAAGTTATTCGAAATGCAACTTAAACATTCATGCGACATGAGACACGCAACTTTCAGTTGTTGCTGCTCTTAATATGCTCTTAATATGGAGGAATTCTGCCAGCTGGAAAGTAATTAATGCATGCAGAATTGATTTCCAAGCTTAATTTGGTTGCAAATCATAAGTATTGGGAGAAAGTAACATTTCTGCGCAAAAACGAGTGCAAAATAAAGTAACTATATTACATATGCTGCGAAATTTTTTGCAGTTGCATTCTAATTCTACGCAGTGAACCCTATTTACTTGTATAAATTATTACAATGGCTGACGTTATTTTATAGTCATTTATCTCTGGTTTAACAACACACATTTTCTCTTGAGATTTTGCAATTCTGCTTATTTTGGACAATTAAAAGGAGCCGTATATCCTCCACAAAAACAAGTTCTAGGAGAAATTTTGGCACGTATCTCGTATTTGTACAATAATTGCTAAATACCAGCATAATTTTCGAACACAAGATTTAAGTGCTTCCGTTTGAGTATGACAAATACAATATCAATTCTGCCTACGATCCAACATTTACTGTGAGTTACATATGTACATACGTACGAGGTTCGCAGCCTACCAAAATGAAATATTCACGAGTCGGCGTAGGTTTGTGCGACATGGCTGCTGACGAATTTCTACAATCCTATAATTTACTTTGTTTGGTATGAATTCTATATTTCGAGCAAATATTGATACCGTGTAGGTTTGCCAAAACCAATATTAATCCAAGCTTATTGTCCACCACTCTGCTCCCTCTGATAACTCAGGCTTCAGTCAGAAGAAGAAGACCGAGATACGACGAGAAGAAATTATTAAACTCAAAACTATAGTGCGGCTAAATGACAGAGTAGCCGACAGCTATTGAAAATCAATAGGTAAGTCAATATAAGTAATGCAAACGACGAGCTGACAATATTTAACCCAATATTTTCCAAACAAATACGTCATAGTTATTTCATACCTTGTCTCATTAACTACGTACACATACAGTAATTTAGCATTGATCCTTGTAATACCTTCTCATTCCACAGCAGTATGCATATTCTTGATTATTACAAATTTGAACAACAAGGACATTACATATAATCTCTCACCCTGCAAAGAATCAAAGCGGAAACTGGGATTTTTTCCATGAGGTTAGATATTTAGCATTATTCTTTCCTGAATTAAACATATTTTTACTAGAAAGCCAAACCGTGTATTCCTTCCACAACAGATATGCAAATGTTTCATGTTGGTGCTCTTCCTGGATTGCCTAATTGTTTTCCAGCGTTAAATAAGACATAATATTCTGCAACATAATAAAGACAGAATTGCAGCACTTAATGGAAAGAAGATGATGTTGACAGAAAAGTTTTATAATGTGTTTGTAACACAAATCAGGATATTTTCTTTATTTTGTGCAATCCCATATCGCTGGGATGATACTTCTGCAAAGCTTCGAGCAGCATCGTTTGTGACCACATGGATATGGAAATGTCTAAGCTTGATTCAGATACGCTACGCTATTTTTCTAATTGTGAGACTCGTCCAGTCTTTCATGGACCCAGACTATTCTTCCGCTGCCAAGCTAGCAATCTTTGGATGGGTTTCGTTACATAACTGCTCAGCAGTGTGGTATATTCCTCTGTTTTTTAAGAGGGACATGATTATGGAAGTCTTCAATTTTATGATAGATTTCGAAAGAAGAGATTTGGGTAAGCTGTAAAATCATGGTTGCATATAATCCTGTTTCATAACTTCATTTCACACTTGAGTCCTTAATACAATCTCCGCTGGGTTGCATAACAGACTATCCTCGGCCGAAAAGAAGTCAACGTGAAGAAGACTGTCTTTACTTTCTCCACCTCATTTCGACAATTCTCACCGTGGTGGTGCCATACGTGATTCCTTTTGCATTCTGGCTTCACCCATGTGCACCTCAATTTCTGAGTTCCATGGTGCTAACCTGCCCCTCAAGAGGAAACTGGACATGGACATTTTTGATACTCAAACTACTCTTTTTGGCCGTGGAAATTATAGCCTCGCAACAAATGGTGCTACATACAATTTTTATGCTTTTTACCTGCTACTACCTGATGATAAGTAGCCTCGGAGCTTACCTCGAGTATATCAAGTAAGTAAATTCCATTCATGCAATAATCTCCACCCAGGCTTCTACGAAATCATTGTGTATTTTGCTTAATATATAGTTGCTGAAGTTATAAGATTTAATAATATATGATTTGAACTATCTACGCAGTAATTTAATGAATCTATTATGGATTACAGAACCATAAGGCTGAATCATTTTCACTTCCGTCCACTATTTGTCAAGAAACTAACTCTTTACCGAAGGCTGCAACTCCTTACGACCATCATTAACGAATGCTTTCACACTACTCTTCTCCTGTTTAAGATAATCTTGTCGACTGTTCTCATGACCTTGATATATTTTTTCGTCAAACTCTTTAGGCCAGACACAGTGTTTCCGGTCATTGGTCAAGTATGCATTCATTTAAGTTTAATGGCAGCACTTTGTACTCTTTACCTGGTATACGGGACGGCTGGAAAGATTTACCGAAATTCGGAGAAAGTGGTCACTCAATGGAAACGATTAGGACAGATCAATCGTCTCCAATGGATCAGGATCAACTTTCAGGCCATGCAGCCAATAGCTATTAGAATGGGATATGGTTCATTTGCCTTTATCAAACCTTGCACATGGCTCTCAGTAATTTACTTTTGTGTCAAACATGTCGTTTTACTTTTAATAATGTCAGGAGATCATCTTACAACTGTGTTTGAACGTTATAATAATATTAAAGAACGTGGGTGATTAATGTACGTATGTACAAAAATTAATATTTTTATAATCGAAGAGAATTAAGTCTACATGATAATAATAAACAGTTCAAAATCATTGAATTGTTAGTTCATTAATAGGTTTGATTTAATCAGAGTATTAAATATATACTATATAATATAGTCTATATCATGTATACTTATGATAGATTATTACGAAAAATGCGACCTGTTGTCCTGTTTCTTAAATAATTTACAAATATTGTGTTGCGAACTACTTCAAGGGAACGTTCTTCTGTACGGGTGAGGACAGACGGACGTTACCTTATGAAAGAAAAAATTGCAGTTCTATTTTTGGGTGTTGAGAGCAGACCTGAAAAGTAAGATCCAGTTTGTTATTGTTATTGACCTAGAGGGTCGTTGTCAGTGAAAGGTCACCACACTCAAAAATACTTAGCTACCTCTAACATACATATGTCGTTTCATTCGAAAGGTATGGATAAGGACTAGACAATTTGAAATAGTACATCGTGTCTGTGACCTCTCCATGACTTTTGAGGGCACGATAAGATGTAAAATGTATTTTTAATTTGAAATTAATAATTTCAGCAAACTATATGGTGGCGAGCGTTGTTTGATAGCGATAGCACTAGCACCACCACTATTTTCTACATATATCGTTTACTAGAATTAATTCCTTATATTTATACATGATTGTGCGATTAAATAAAAAGTACAAGTTAGGGACATTTTATAGGATCTACTGGGTCAGACAAATTGATTGGATTAAAACTTGCAGACGTATGATCAGGAATTTCCAGGAAATAATTTGCCTGCTTTGGTACAGTTGCATCATCGCCAAGTATCACTGGTCGAGGGGGTCTATAATTTGAAGCGTTCGAAATGATGAACGAACTTTCTAAGCAGATGTCGAGCCATGCTTGCGCAGTGTCAGTACTCAAGTCCCCAAAAATTGATTTGAAGGCCTGGTTATGTTTTGGATATTTCCACTCTTCGATAACTGGCAATAGAAAATCTTCATAAAATGTATTGTACAGCCGGGGAAAAGTGTCTGACTTTCGGACTTGATAATGCTGATTGCAGTAACCAATTACAGTTGTCCATATTTTCCAGAAAATATCAATTGCAATTCCCAGTTCATAGTCAGATTCTGCCTTGTCTTGATAATAAAATAAGCACTCTCCAAAAATTTCGCTTTTCCCCACCGGGAAATTAATGCTACGCCCTTGCGGTGAAGTGACCTTTGTAATAACTAGAACATTAATTGGGTAGCCATTAAAATCGTAGCTGCCATTCCTCTTTGGATGAATAAATTCATGAGTGACAACAATTTCGTTTAGTGGATAATCGACAAGAATTGCATTCGAAGATGGGGGACCAGCTATTGCTCCACTTTGTTGTAGATCAGCTTCAATGTCATTTGAAGACAAGGCGTTGGCCGTTGGATAAGCACCATCGTCAACTCTTTTCATTTCACACTGACTTCCGTTGTATGATGGTTTACAGTCTTTTTCTGGAGAGCAAGTTACAACGCGACATTCCTGATTTATACAAACTCCTTTGTGCAGCACACAAGGGTCTGGACAAGTTGGTAATGTCGAGGAGCAGTTTGAGCCGTCAGAATCTTCGTTTTGGAGAACAAAAGTACATGCTCCGGTTGTTGGGTCCAACGCACATGGACTTGGGCATTCGATATGCGTTTTCGAACAGTCGAATGATGGGTGGCAAGCAGACTCGCCACTTTTTGTTTCGTTTATCTCACACCCATCTGAACAACTTTGTATGACGCACGTAACATGTTCCGCTTCATGAGGAACATTTGAGTCTTCTTTATTGTCCCAGTACCAAGACATTGGTTTCGCTTCAGTATCACATCTCTCCAGTTCTGCTGTTAAATGAGTCCAAATGGCTCTCTGAGTTACCGTTTGAGCTTTAGTTTTGTTGAGTAGATACCCCAGGGCTCGGGAGACAGTAAATGGTACATGGGAAGGAAAAGGTTCGCATATTTTGCTAAAAATATTAGATGCTACGTCCAAGACGTTCTTTCTCCAAGAATCAAGTTCAACTGGTGGGTCTACATCAATGGATAAACTTTTCTTGAATAATGTACACGTTTCTTCATCCGTAGGCGCTTCCTCACATTGTGGCGACTTGCTGGTGACTTTTGGTGGAAGCATTTCACAGTGAGCAGGGTCTAGTATAATATAATAGTCTTCAGAGAAATCCCATTCATCTACGATTGGTTTTCCTGTGCCAGGATTGGGTTGGCCAGGTTCTGAACCACCGTCTCCCATCCAATTGGTCATATTTCCTCTTTGATATGAGGATCTTCCATGTTTTCCTACTACTTTCTTGGCTCTTGCCCTAAGAATTGCTGTCACTTTAGAGCCTTGAAAAATTGAAAATGGGTCAATTGTTGTTGTCATTGGAGGAGGCGCGGGCGTGGTACTTCCACCAATTGGGTAGGGCCCTAACCCATCCCCACCGCTTCCTCCAGAACCACCGCACGAATGCCACCCTATTTGACCTCTAGTCAACGAACCGTTAAAGATTCTTTTGTATTTTCCCACGAGTTCGGGATCCAATCGATCCTCTTCCAAAGTCCACTTGCAGACTGATGTGTCCGTTATTGCAGCATCCTGCGCCTCCACCACAATGTCCAGTCTGTCATTGTAGAGAGAGAGACAAAAGGGTCCTCTGCCAACGGTTATCAAAGAACCATCAGTTATTCGAGAATCAGAAGTTGCAATATAATCCCAGCGTTGTTGCAGAAACATGACCGCTGTTTGAAGGTAGTAGTCTTTGGGTTCGCTGATTAGATAAACTCCAGTGATCTATATGCATACATATGAAGTAACTCGGATGGATTCAATGGTCACCGATTTTTAAAAAATATAGTGCCATAACAAAACTTGTATTGCATATATATTTATTTACCCGTCTGCCCACAATGTCGGATTCTGCTACGTCAAATAATGTGGGGTCGCGAATACCAGCATCACGGAGCTCGATTGCCTTTTTCGTTGCAATCTGATTGAAAACTGAACAATTATGAATGTGAATTTCCAAGGAAGGGTTAGTAAATATAACTGTGTCGTTATCTCTGGTGATGATATCCTTGTACAATAGCACACTGCGATCAGCAGACAAAATTGAGATTAATGAACTTGTTAATAATGCGAATGAAAAAATAGTAAAAAGATATTTGTCTCACATTCCATTCAAACAAAGTAGTTTGTGAGTATATTTGGTCAAATTAATGAATCCACTAAAGTCTAACGACTCTATCGGTTGTCCGTTGCGTTTCTTCAAAACATGGACAAATGGAACAGCATACGTATCTGGATCACAGACTGGGCCAAATAATGCATGAATGTCAGCAAGGAGGAGTAACAAGAGTCCGAATAAAAACTGTGGAGATGTCCACCACACCCATCTCAAGGGATTCATTTTTTACAATCACTGCTTCAATTTCAGAAGAAAAATTGGGGAAAAAAGAATATATTGTCAATTAAAAGTTTGTTTCATTTTCAACTAGGTTTGTGTTCAAGAAAGGCAGACCATCACCAATATTGAGCTTGGTAAAAACATGTACAGGACCCATCATTATATTGTTGTTATTATCATTCATTCAATGCTAACTTACAATAAAATCCCATTAATAAGTACGTGTTTGTTTGCAGTATACTTTTCAGAACTACATTTCCTGTTTAGGCTCCACTTATACACGTACATAAATTAAAAGCTAAATAATAATGTATTGTACTGCGCAGCGTAACGTGTGTACAATTTGACTTTATTATATCGGCAGGTTAATTTGGAATGTTGACTATTATAAAGCAAAACATATTATTATATAGAACAGTTAATTTTGGCAATTACATACATATTGCGACAAGTTGAATATACAAACTTTCTAAAACGGCAAAGTAGTAGAAATTCTACTGTAGAATCTTAAACAAATACTTTACATTGTGTGAGTGTTAGTAATTGTTTAATGCAGTTCCTGCTACGTTGTACGAGAGATCACAAGGAGCGAATGGTAATACAGACTTATTCATAAATCGACTGGCTAAATTGAAATTGACTAAGTTCGCTAGGCTGACTGGCTCCGTAGTTGAGGGTGGTCCACACTTTGTCGGGAATTTCAGGCAACAGTGGATCTATAATATAATATTAACATTCATTTACTACCAACACTCCATCAACAAATAATTAAATGATGTTGTTTGTTACTTGTAAAAATCTCTTGAGCAATGGATGACTCTGTGCGACGAGGTTTTTTCCGTAACTTAACATGAGGCGAACTTAACTTGACTGTTCTTTTTCTCACGATCGTCGGAGTAAAAAACGTGTCACTAACTTGTTGCGAAATATCTCGAAGTAATTTTGGAGATCCTTCTCCCTCTGACGATTTCTTTAACAATTTTATCCCGAAACTGGTCAAAGTGCTTTGAGTCATATACCGACCAACATTTTCGTTTGCTTTCGTCACTTCATTTTGTAATGTGTTAACCTTTTTCCGTAGCCTTTTGATTTCCTTTTTCATTTTCAGACAATCATCGTTGGTCTTGTTGATGCTGCTGCTACTGGACAACAATCTCACTCCTCGCTCCATTTCTAAAATGCAACTACGATAATTATGTTGAAATTTTGACTTGTTTTCAACACAAAGCTACTGGACATGTGTGTTGATTGGTATTAAATAAATTTAAATAAATAAATAACAATAAATAACAACTAAATAAATAAGGTCTAATAAGTCAGATGTGCAGAGTGTGAAATGTATGCGAATTTGAAAGTGGCAGAAATTTGGCCTGTGATCGCAGTTGTGTGAGGCTGGCTCGAAATTTCCATTGGAGGAGTCTCAGAGTTGTGGTTGGTCCACTATTGTTTTTGTTGCTCAGTCAGTCAGTTGCAACAACTCACATTCGTATATATGCCACACAGAACAGCAACAGGGAACTGGGACGACGACGACGACGATAATTAATCACAAATTCTTGGCCACTAGTTGTAGCAGTTAATAATAATAATATTAATATAATATAATTTCCCACCATTTTTCTTAGCTTCTTCTTTTGTTCTTAATATTTTTGAATATAGAATTTGAGTGAGATTGTGGTATTAATTGGAGGAGGTACGCGTACGACTTCAGATATAGTTAAATATAAATTTGATGACTTAGTAAGATCGTATTTAATTATCATCATTATTGTATTAGTTGGTTTGGTTTTGGCGTGTTTGTGGAAGTGACGACGACGAACAATAAGTAAAAATGGGCGAGGAGGTGTTGTATGTCCAGTTTAACCAGGACTACTCCTCGCTGGCCGTGGGGACAGGGGGGGAGTGGACGCTGGTTAGTCTCACATCCCTCGAGGCACTGGACAGGATTCACGAGGCGTCAGCGCCAGACGGGGTCCAAATTGTGGAGAGGCTCTTTTCCTCCTCCCTCGTCGCCATCGTCTCCCTCAAGAGTCCCAGGAAGCTAAGGGTTTGTCACTTCAAGAAGGGCAACGAAATATGCAACTACTCCTATCAAAACACCATTCTGGGCGTCAGACTTAACCGTGCCGTAAGTATCTGGTCAGATTTGTTGTTTAATACAAGTAACGGAGTAAACATTTTATTAAAAATAATAATAACAGTTGGTTGGGGGAACAAAGATGTGTTTGAAAACCTTTGTTTTTGAACCATTTATAATCCACATCAGCCTCTTGCAGCTTGAGAATAAAAATTCTTAAACTTCACTGGAAAAACAAGTTAAAATTTTTAGAAATTTTGTTTGAAATCATCACAAATATCAATCCTGTTGTTGAGAAACTTTGTACTCGAGCAAAAGGTTTATAAATAGACCATTAATTTATGAGATAATGCGATACGTGGTGGTCTAATTTTTATGCGTCGTTGTGTAGGTTATGCATTATCTTGGTCACTATATTGCAGATAAAACATAAGTAAGTAAAATAGGAATTGAATAGCTAGGAAGGATTTTTTTGCATATATTTCTTCCAAATCTAGGTAGGTAGAAGTTTATTCCCCAAACACAGGTTTAATATTTATGTACTTAAAAAATGTACGTCGCAATTTCTGTTCCAGTTCCGCATATAATGAACAATTACAATGTTCTACTTGTGTTGATGCTGGATTATGTGACCTTTGACTTGCTTTGCTTTGATTACGACATTTGCAAAAATGTTGCATGTATACTTGCATTATTATTCGCACTAATAACATGGTAATATTTTGCAATGTGTAATGTTATTATAAGCTTCACAAAAAATGCAAGTGCAACATCAAACTTGGTGTGTTATAGCTAGACTCTAGTTACTAGAGTGTTTCATACTGAACCAAATTGTGATTTAATAAATCGTCTTAAGGTTGCAATAAAAGTGCATTAGATTTTAATCATCTGAAGGACAATGCATGTCTAGTAAAGTAGTGTCACATAAATACATAATAATATGGCAATGCTTACAAGGATAATAAGACATCCTGATATATGTTTCAATCTGAACTATTAACTGTCGTAAAGACAGTGTGTCTTTATGACAATTGAAAGAAATCCATAGCGTATAAGATTTAACGTATAATAGCGAACTTGGGCATATGTCGTCCACCCTGACTGATCAATCGTTTGCAGGTTCTGTTTTTCGGATGAAATTGGACTAATGACGCAAGAATGCAGTTCATTTGATTCAATTTGTCATCATTTCTCTTTTGTGCATTGTTCTTGTTAGCGTGAGCATTTCATTTAACCTGCCAACAGACAAACTGCGTATTTAATCCTGCGCTTTATTAGATGTACTTGACTTCAAGGTGTTACTACTAACTCGCACCACTACTGTTACATCATTTTACTCGCGACTTTTGTCATGAACACTACTGCACTTCTTTGTTGTTGTTGTTGATGATGGCCAAGCTATGGGTGAAGCTGGTCAACCTTGCAATTGTTCAGGAATTATTGTTGCTAGGATTGCTGTTAGTTGTATCGTTGTTGGTTTGGGTAAAGGATCAGGAACTCTTGTGCATGCTTATAATAAGTATACGATACAAAAAATCATGGTCTACTACATGTAGTTGATGTTTGCATAAACGTAAGGGACAGGGTATAGTTTTCCTGCAGCTGAAACACTTACTAGAGATCAGGTATCATAGGGCAAGCGCAGATATGTTGTGTAGGTTCAGTATAACATGTTGTACCTAACTTATCTATGCCACTGTCAGCTATTAAGTGTGTTTATTTACTTAAAAAACCTTATCACTCGTATGCACACGAACCTTTATTGCAATGCATAGGTTGTCATTATATGTTTATATTAAAATGATTAGTGAGAATTTAAATAAAATAATGCCTAAATTTCAACGGTAAATGACCGATAATTCACATACATGCTTATATTTGCATTTAAACGTTTAAAATCGATAAAGTTTTTTTAGTCATCAGTTAATACAAAATGATTGTCTCAGCTTATTAAAGCACCAGTATGTATGCCATTAGTGGACAATTATAAACAGCTATAATGCACATCAATAACTTATAAAACTTTCATTTGATTTGATTTCATTGGACAATACATTTTCTACAGTTAGGTGTAAACGAAGTGAGACAATCATGTATAGAATGTCCTTATTTGGAATTGGAAGTATAATATATACTTTAAAGTAAATTAAATTGCAAAACGGAAATAATTTTATTGTTATAAATTATGCATGATGATTTTTTTTATTATTGCAGAGATTGGTCGTATGCCTGGAGAATATGCTCTATATTCACAATATTCGTGACATGAAAATTCTTCATACAATTCGGGATACGCCACTAAATGTAAGTTCGTTGTACACCGGACCATTAGATATTAAAATTATAATCTACTGTTACTCAATATTAAATATATTCCGAAATTTATGGATGTTTACTACCCTAAAAATTATTTTTGCGATTTTTTTGGTGGAATGGTGCCGAAATGTGACTCCATTCATAATTATTTTTAAATCAAAAAAAATAGAGGGACAGGTCATGTATACCTTTAGTGAGAGGTCAATATTGTGTTTTCATTTGATTCATCCTGAATCTCATTTGTTGTAAGTAAATGCAGTCGTATCTACATATGATATTTCTTTTCATAAATAGGAAAAGGGAATTTTGGCATTATCTATCAATGCTGACAATTCATTCTTGGGTGAGTTCTTGTAAATCTTTGACATGTTTAAAATATTATCAAAATTGTTAAAAATTCGGTCCGATGATGAGATGACATATTAAACAAATAAATTTTCAAATGTACTTGTATTAGTATGTGTAACTTAAAATGATTTTGTTTAAACAGCGTATCCTGGATCATCTTCAACGGGTCAAGTGCAAGTCTTCGACGCCTTCAACTTGCAAGCGAAAATTGTGATTCATGCACATGCTTCTTCCTTGGCTGCTTTGGCTTTTAACCTAAACGGGACATTGTTGGCCACTGCTTCTTCGAAAGGAACCGTTATCAGAGTGTTCAGCACGACGGATGGATCTCGACTCTTTGAATTTCGGCGTGGGATGAAACGCCGGTAAGGTTTTCCGCCGCCAGGTGTCCAGCGTCGCTTTAGGTTATTATATGTATGCGTGCATAATATGTTTCTTATGATACGATTAAAATTACAGAGCTGATATTTACTCTATATCATTCTCTCCTGACAACTCCTTTCTGGCTATGTCATCAAATACGGGCAAGTATTAGTATTAAGCCAAGTGCCCATTCGGCTGACCTTAGTCGTCCTTTATTTTTTATAAATCTAATGTGTGTACTTTTTTGTTTTATAGAAACCGTTCATGTCTTTCGACTTGAGTCTGCTAACCAATCGTAAGTATACCTAAGACCATTAACTAAAATTTTCCTGAAAAATAACCACTAATACCATAAGTTTGTAACATGTAATGATCAAATGTGTAATTTTAGCAACGAAGTTAAAGAGGAATTAGCAAGCCCAGCAGCTTCTTGGATGGGTATGGTTTAAGCCATAAGTATGCAATATGTAAACATACAGGTATTCATGATTCTTGACTACAATTTCTTCCAGAATGGGTCAAGTCTTCACTGCCAACTCAAGTGACCGAGGTGTGGGCACAAGGACGCTCATTTGCAACCATTACAACCCCATTTGTAGAAACTCGGAGTGTTGTGGCCGTAATCACGGTCACGGAGGCTGATGGCCCCAAAACTCGAGTAATTGTAGGATCATATGACGGATTCCTCTATGTCTATGGGTTAAACACACAAGAAGGCGGGGAATGTCAACTTCTAAAACAGTACAAGTATGTATTTGCTTAAAATTAGTTTGTGCTTTAGTTAATGTTTAGTCATTGGCGATTCGTACTACTCTTGATATGCTCTGTTTATACGCTATATTTATATTGTAATGGTAGATTAACTGGAACCGGGAGCGATGCCAAGAAATGTCCTTCATCTTCCGGACCTGCAGGGACAGCAAGTTACGCCGGAGTTGTGAAAGGTCACTTTTCACAATCCATGTCAGGTGTCCCCTTTTGAAAGCCCCTCTTGAAATCATTGTAGTTTTTATCCCAAAAAGGGTACTTGGCGAAGACAGAAATATTTTATATTAATGATATTTTTCCTTTGGTTTAGATTCGGACAAAATGTTGGAAATGAAAAATGCTATCGACCAAGCTGGTTCAAGTGAGAAAGATTTCCCTACACTGGAATAGATAACAGCAGAGATCTAGAGATCTTTCTCCCCATTCGATTTCCCAGACACCAATAAACAACCAACCAACCAACCCGACCGGCCTTCGCGCACCGTATAGCGCTCAATATTTCAACGTACACGTGCATCTTGTTTATGCTGCATCACTTAAAATACAAAAAAAAGATATTTCCTCTGCAATATTTCTACACATATTTTTCACTGGAGAAAATGATGTAACCTAAACTCATACATATGAATAGTGAAGCAAGATGCTGCTATCCATCATCAAACTATTCTTCAATCACACTGTCCAGTCGTTATATTATTATGATGTTTCTATTGTGACAGCCGTACAAGAATAATCTGGTCATAGTTTGGATATGAATATTGGACAATATGAATATGGCTAAAATATCTTTTGTAGTAGTGTGTTCATCGCCTGACTACTACTGCGTCTTTGTTTAGTACTTTAGTTTGATATTACTTACTTATATATGAATATGCATAGATAGGGTAGATGACGAAATATGATGTTATATTCACGAAACGTATTGAATTCTTAAACGCCAACTAGTTTTAATGAATTTTGTAGTGTTATTATTGTAAAAACCTAAAAATTGAATTTCAATAGTAGTAAAGTATCACTGACGACGACCATGATGAATTTGTTGGTAGATTTGGATAAATGAATACACACAAAGTTTTATTATTAGTGACAACAACTGACATGTAATTTTTATAGTCAAAGACAATGCGAGATTTTATTTGTACTCTATTGTGTATATACTTATGTATATATATATAAAATTAATGTTTCTTCGTTTTTGTCATGGTCCGAGCAATACCATCATCCCTTGAAATGAGGCTACCAACTATATAATATTCTTATATAGTTCTATTGATGATATACAAGATCTTATTACATATAATACTACGTATGGACCCTTATAATAAGTATATAATTCAAATAGTACCAACAAGAACGGCAGAGTTGCTTCGTCAAACTTTGCTGCTACTAAAACAATGATTATTATGACTGCGATAAAAACGTAAAGTTTTGTTTTATTAGGAAGGATGCATATTATGATTGTTAAATAAAGTTATATTCGAGTACATATTAATACGTCGCAAACGGAATAAAACCACAAATTTTTAAGCAACCTATGATCCCGGATTCGTGGTACGTGTACGTGCTACGTGTATATGTACGTAGGTATATTCATATGTTGTCACCAAAAATAGCACTGGTCTACTAATTATTTCATACTACTAAATTAATTGACATTCATCAAACCACTATATAGTTTACATGTATGCATACTCAATGTGGTGATGCCAAATGATGGGTTTTATATAAATTTATGTATGACCGCAGATAAATGTCACATGCAACTCAAAAATTTTCTTATAAGTAGCTATTTAGTTGTGACGTCCATAAAAATTCATATAATATGCACTAAATTCCCAATTTTTAATTTAGTTTATCTAGCATCTCCCTATGTGCAAATTTTGTTCAAAGATGGGAGACATGAGGTCAATAACGTCAATATTTCTAAAAATACTGTTGCTCGCTTGTTGTGACAATGTTTCTGCTGGGAAGGAGGTTTTTCATTCTCACGCAAAACGAAGTTTGAAGGGATATACTCGATTTGGTTATCAAAATCCGATTTTTGTAGCCCCAACTTTACCCCCATCGCTTACATACGAAAGAGAAAGCCAAGACAAAATGCCAAATTTATCAAAAGAAGAGCCTGAGGAATCAAGACCCACAATGTATGCACATGTTTTTCTAATAATTATAATTTGTGGATGTGGCCTGATATTGGACCAATTAATTATATTTGCTCTTATACGCGCAGGGTATTTTATGAAACTGAGAACAAGAAGGAAGGACTACAATATGGTAACAAATAATCGATTTCCTGGTGGACATGGGGGCGGTGTACCGCATTTATTAAATATGTTTACACGATGCTAATCATTGAATTCACAGATGCTGCATTTCCAGTAAACGGCGGCCGTGTGAGTAAATTTTTTTACAACTGTACCACAGCTACAGGGCAAATTGTTTGGAATACTCGCCCATGTCTTCCTGCGCCAAGATGGTCCACAAGATTAGACACCACGATGACGATTCCAAAATGGTCTCGACATAGACCAAATAATTATCAGCCGTCTGAACCTAGGACGCATGCAAAATTTGGTCATCTAAATCCAATTGCAGTTGCTCCTACATTGGCTCCTTACTCACCAACGCCAACGCACCGTAATCATCAGGGAAAGACTATCAGTACCACAGAAATGACAACCAGCACCAGGCATGCAGTTACTGGATAAATATTTTGACAGTGTAACAGATTAATTAGTTTTGAAAACTCATTTTTGTAGCCCGTGTGAACAAGATGGTCTACTTGACCGTAAAACCAACCGGTGTTTCGCATTGGGGTCTGTAGAACCCTGTGGAGGGGAGCAAAGGAATATGGCGTTTTATAGCAGTCCTAATACATCTGACCCCATTTATGGCGAGTGTGACTGCATGCAGAGAAGCAGTCGTCCACTTGTTTACCACAAATCAAGTGACACGTGTTACTTTGTGTATCAACAGGTATGAACATACATGATTATGTATTTAGATGCGATCGCCTGGTTTCATTAATCTCTGTATTAAAATAAATACATTTCGTATATTTTGTGCATTAATTATTCGCCAAGGCGTACTGTAGAGAAACTCATTGGCTAGTGATATCTGATGACGATGATCAAGTTGTTCCTACTTGTCAGCCCAATCCATGTTGGGATTATGGTTAGACAATCTATCTATGGAGCAATATTGGCTTAGGAATACCGTAATGTATTGGGATATTTATATATAACCATGGTAGGTCAATTGGTTTGGAACTGGACAAGAAATTCCAACATGACTTTTATGAACAACGAAGGAATCGTTCCCGTATTTGAAGTGGAAAAGTGCGTCCCATTGGGGCAGGTGTGTCATCGCTATTCCAATGGATCACTTTCATTCCCAGAACCACCACCACAAGCAAATAATCCGCACAACAATTTTCTTTATAAAACGGTTCTAACATTTTTACCTGGCTCCCTTCAGCCTTCCTGTAATGACCGTAGGGCTTTAATGCAATCACTTCCAGTTTCCACAAATTATTGTCAACCTGGGAGTAAACGCCACATTTTAGGTCGTTGCAACTTAACCAAGAAAGCAAATAGAAGGATATTGACACAAAAGATTGAACAGGTTGACACCAACACGATTTTTAATTCAAATACTGGAGCATTCGAACAATTTCGAAGCTCTGGTATAACAATTGCTCTATTAATTAGTGACATCCATTACAATTCAGTTTTAATCGGATTAATTGTATTCATATATATTTCGTAAATATTATTTATAATGCAAAATGATGTAAAATAATAAATTGCGCTGTATAGCAATGAATAAAGAACGGTTAATACACCTGCTGCTGTACCCAGTATAACCCCCCATAAATTTGTTTTGACATACAAACTTAGCATTAGTAAAATAGATTGATTGGTCAATCAATCGATTTTATTAATTAATGCTATATAGCTTTGGCCTTCGTTATGGATAATTGTAATAAATACACATACACACAAAATAGTCTATAGATTTGTGCATGGCTTAGCTTGAGACGACTTTGGGAAGATAAGCAAAGAAACAGAAATAGCACGATTTTGGCTTCCCCAAGCGACGCCAGCAGGAGCAGAAGTAAGGAAAAGGACACGAGCAGACAACGCCTCATTCCTTCTTCAACTCTCGTCAGGAACACATCTCAAAAATCGCGTCCGCCATTTCTCCATTGTCGGAAACGAGACAAGAGGGTTTTAAGAAAGATAGAAATACGATGGATAAATTATTAGCAGAATTTGAGAAATTAGACGACCAAGTCATCGTCGACTGGATGGCCAACGATTTCTCACTTGAAGCTTTCGACGAGGTGCGCGAGTCGACGTTACCGGAAGGTAAACCATCCGCTAGGGATAAATTAAGTCTGGAATTTAATTATATAAAAATTCGGGATTATTTAAGTGATTTATTTTAATTACGTTGTCCAGAACTTCTGTTGGAACAACAGTTTGACAACAAAAACTATGCCGTTATAACTGAGAATTCGAAGATTAGGGTCACAAAATCAAGATTTTTTCAACTTCCGCCGTCGACTAGTGTGACCATTCCCCTAGGGGCTTTTAGCACCGGAATTCGATGTCAAGTTATGGGGATTGATTCAGAGGGCTTTGTATTCATTGGATTTCCACATCATCCACATGAGGTATGTACGTTTTCGGTTTTAGCCAACAGTAGAGTGAAGCTATTAATGTTGTGTACAAGAAAAGTAAACTAATATCATACATTTGTAGACAAGGCATCTGGCAGTAATGGCTCGGTTAAATCAAATATACAATAATCTTGACTACCATCACATGCGTGCTGAATCAACGGAAATCGTCGTGGGGGAAATTTTGGTTGGAAAGATTCGCAGGAAGATAAGCCATGACCGAACCGACCTCTTTCTACGTGTCCAGGTTGTACAGATTGACCCTGAGAGGGAGACCATTACTGCCGTGGACATTGACGAGCAAGTCACGTACAACTTTCACAGAACCGATATGTATAGAATGATGAAGTACTTTTATCAATTTCCAATGCGGGTAAGGTTAACAATTATAATCAATGGTTAAGATTTTTTATTATTTACATGTATAAATACTACAAAAACATAATTTTGTTGCATCATTGTAGGCAATCAAATGCATTCTGGCTGGGCTCGAAGAATTTATTGGAACTTCAGTTATCACGGATGCTATTAGATCGTCCGAATGTACAGACTTTAACATGATTGTTAAAATTGTTGAGGATTTGGATGCAGTGGACGAGATTCCAAAAATCATACTCTACACATCAGACTTGGAAATTATTAATTCTGACTGGTCATTCAATCGTGACATTTGTCGAAGCATCACAAACTGGAATAATACGCCATTGAAGTTTCTCTATGTAAGGAAATTTTTTAGAACAAATGCAAATATCTGATCTACCGACGAATTATTTAAAAAAAATATACTCTAAAATTTTATTCTTTTTAGGACATGATTCTGACTGACGTCCGAATTACTCACGCCACGGTCAGCGGGAACGTATGGGTCCAACTTCAATCTGGCCTCATGGACGTACTGCAGGATCTCCATCCAATTCGAAATGTTTTCATGGATTCCCGTCACATTTTGACCACTGTTTCTGCATTAAGGAAACAGGGGAAAGAAGCGTTCGTTATGGAGTTTGATGGGAAATATCGCCGAGTCACTGTCCATAGCGATCAGCCCACAGCCATTCGCCGTCAGAACTTGGAAGAACCAGATGATGATACTGCCGACACGGAGGTGTTCTTAACCCACACAGATTTTGGAACAACTCAACTTGGCTACTTGGGACAGCTTATTCCATTCTCATATTTTCCTGAAATATTAGAAGACGTTCCACCCCAGGTACAGTAATTATTAAATATAATGCCTGTGACACTCATGTACAAACGTGCACACACACCTAAATGTCAGTTGTAAAGTTTTTGCATGTTATACATATTTCTATTTGTACAGGGATTTGCAGCTACACTTGGAGTCGCAAAGGGTGATGTAATATTGAAAAGGAAAGATATCGACCTCCTTCGTCGGACAAAGGGCTTAAAAATTGGATTCTCTGCAGAGGTTCGGAGCTTTAAACGCATTTGAATATTTTAGTTTTTTTCAAAAACATTTGCCTTCGTTAATTAGGAAAAGCCCAGCCCAGCAATGGGAACTCCAGTGATCACCGTCTACTTTCCCGCTGATAACAGAAGAAATAACTTCCGGCGACCGGATGTTCGGCCTGAGTCGCGATGTTCGAATGCAAGTGGGGGCAGCAGCAACAGCAGCAGCAGCAGCAGCAGCAACAGCAGCAGCAGCAGCAGCAGCGGTAGTCGTGGAAGCAGCAACGACATCAGCGCGTGTCAGGACAGGCTGCCCTACCAGAGGTATCTCCTACCACTGGAGGAGCGGTATAACAAGTTGGATGGACGCCTCTTCGAGTACAACTATGACCACAAATCGATTCAAATGTACAGGAGACACATCAGCGTCCTCGAGTATGCACCCAACACTGTCTCAATTTATAAGAACAAGCATTAGTCGTACTATTAGTAATGCGTATTAGTAATTGGGAGTGCTTTTCTTATTGTACAAAATGAATTAATTTGTACTAGAGATAAATATTGGGCTAATGGATTATTCAATAAATCACAGTATGATATTACTGTGCGACTCTATCTCTCCTCATGTATTAATGTTGACTTGATTTATTTGAGGTTCATGGGCAGTCAGGAATATGAGATTGGCTTGTCATTCTATAATAAATACAGTTGCATGATGCTAATTATTTGCAAAAAAACTTGTCCAAAGCAAAAGCAAGCTCAACAGTGTTTATACCAGGAATCATGATGCATGATGGTGTGCAAATGCCAAATTGTAGCAAATATATATACATGCACAACTTGAGTCGAGTAATGTGCAACACAGTCCCACGTAAGCGCAGCAGTAAACATTGCCTTGACTTGACAAGCAAGCAAGCACTCCAACCAAACAGAGGTATTTATTTTACAACGTAGAAAAAGAAAACCAATTTCGTCTTTAAAAAGACTTTCTTTCGGGCATCGCATCATCGTTAGAGTATTTTTGGAACTCTGCACTTTGACCCAGCACTCGTCAATTCTGAGAACAAATACTTCACAGAAACATAAATCAAAGAAAAAGGCTTAATTATTTTAGTGAAGCTGTCGTTTTATTTCTGTACACGTGTTTCGCATCACCTTATTCATAATTTTTTAAGTATTTGTCGTTGGTTATAATTAACTTAGCATGTGACTTAAACATAAGAATAGTGTACTGAAGGAGATGTGTAATAGTAATAAGCAGCAGGTGTTATTATAAACGTCGACTGTCAAGTCAAACTTGCCTCAATTAAATTGAGTCAATTTGTAAGTTAATCAACAACATTAAGCCGCCGTGCTGCTGTCCAGCGGTATAAGATTTTAATGTGAAGCATATTATCGTCATATCATCCTAAGTATATAGCTCGATATAAATGATTTAACTGATTGGGCGTATCTTGTCAGAATTTTGAATCGAAAAAAGTTTGCAGTGATATTGATAATTTTTATTTGGCTGACATTTAAAAAGTTGTGGCGATCTTTCTTGATATCGATCGAAACGTTCTATTTCTTATACAACTATAGACGTGGATTAAGAAATTTACAAGAGCTGTCGAGTATAATCTACTTTTAAAATAGTATTTATACTTCAAATAAATAAAAATCTGACGACCGATGAAAATGGAAGTGGGTGAAAACAATCCGTACAGGTAAATTTGATACGATTGTTCAGTAATTATAAAATTAAAACAAAATATTATTTTCTCTTTATTTCAGCAACGGATTGTTATATGTTGGATTTAATCAAGATCAAGGTATATAATAATCTTCTCAGTTTTATGCACATAAATTTGACTTGTACTGGTGACTTTACGATCAGCTAATGGTACATATCACTACATAATTAATACATACTTCTCTTTATTTCACAGGTTGTTTTGCTTGCGGGACTGACAGCGGATTCCGTGTATTCAATTGTGACCCATTAAAAGAAAAAGAACGACAAGATTTTAATGATGGTGGGCTTGGAAGGGTTGAAATGCTGTTCCGTTGCAATTACGTTGCTTTGGTGGGAGGTGGGAGCCGCCCAAAGTACCCATTAACTAAAGGTAGCTGAGCCATGTTTTATATAATGTGGTAATTCTTCTAATAAGTCCCACTTTGTTTTAGTAATGATTTGGGATGATCTAAAGAAGCGTGTGGTGTTGGAGATGGAGTTCTCTGGCGCAGTGAGGGCAGTTAAATTAAGAAGAGACCGAATTGTTGTGGCGTTAGAGACAATGGTAAAGGTTTATACATTTACCCAGACTCCTCAGCAATTGCACGTGTTTGAGACTTGCCATAATCCAAGAGGTATCCATCGATTTGATTTTTACTAGCTTGTCGAAATATGTATACTATTATATACTCTGATATTCACACTATAGGTCTTTGTGTCCTATGTCCCTCCTCAACAAATTCAATACTGGCTTTTCCTGGACAAAGCCCTGGACAAGTTGAACTGATTGACCTTGGAAATACGGAAAAGGGCTCCACCAGCGTTACCGCACATGAAACATCTTTATCTTGCATTTCAATGAACTTGCAAGTTAGTAGTTACTATTTTTATTTAGAGGACGTCATATTACTAATTATATTGTTTCATATTGACAATTGTTTAAATAGGGCACATTGCTGGCAACAACTTCGGAAAAAGGAACATTAATTCGTATATTTGAAACGTTGCATGGTACAATGGTGGGTTTGCATGTGTCCCTCGTTTTCATGGGGGATACATTTAGTTAATGTCATTTTTTCTTCCCCACTCAGATTAACGAATTACGAAGAGGAACACAACCTGCTTTGATCTATTGTATAAATTTTAATCTCGATTCTACGCTGCTTTGTGTATCATCGGATCATGGAACAGTACATATTTTTGCTGTGGATGATCACAAGAAGAACAAACAATCCTCGTACGTATTGTCATGTTTTTTGAAAATTTCATAATCAAAAAATCTAGAAACCTTTGATTTGTGTACAACTATAATTTTAAAGGTTGGCGTCTGCATCATTCCTGCCCAAGTACTTTAGCTCTAAATGGAGTTTTTCGAAGTTTCAAGTTCCTGGAAATTCTCCATGCATATGTGCCTTTGGAAATGTTGATCCGAATTCTGTCATAGGTGAGCTTTAAAGTTTACGGACTGATATTTTCATATTGCTCGAGCTAATCCATAATCCTACGTAAATGTACATTTCATTCTGTACCAATCTAGTTGTTTGTGGAGATGGGAGTTATCATAAGTTTTGCTTCGACCCTCAAGGCCAATGTAAGTAACATTGTTATATATTTATCAATTATTAATCTTGATTAAATAATATAAGGTGAAATCAAAAAAGTTTACTCTAATAATTCATAATTTCTTCTTTTCAAGGTACTCGTGAGATTTATTCTTCCTTTCTTGAAATTTGAAGTCCGATACGTAAAGAAATAGAACGCATATATACAACGGAATTGTTCGCAATTTATATGCAATCAATCTAAAAGTTAAGTTTTTACTAAAAATGTATATGTTATTGAATATTGTTGATAAATTACGATATGCAAAATATCACAATCCATTCTTTCACGTGCTACAAAGGTTATCAGTTGTAAAATTAAAACTTTTGTAAAGGATTGTGGTAGCAAATTAAGGATACATTATCATAACGAGGACGAGATATTTATTATACAAGACAATATAATAATAATAGAAAAAATAGAATTGACTGTGTCTTTCGGAAATTGAATTCTGTTATGAGAAATATAATAATGGTCCCTATATATTTGAAAAGGTTGCACTGATTATGAAAATAAATGTTGAATAGTACTGATGAGTGATTGCGTAACTTTCATGTTAATTTTGAGGGCTGAGGTTTTTTCGCTGTATTTATGTGATTAACCAATTTGTATTAGGGGCATGTATTAGAGTCCTTGAGACTCTAGAAACAAATTCCTAGCATGGTGGGCAAAGTGGTCTTTCCAAAACCGTTTCACAAAATTGAATCCATGGTCAAGTCCTTCATGCATCCGCATGTTTACAGAGATGACTTTGGTTCCCTTGGGGTTTGCAGCAGCAGCTTCAACGAGTTTTTCAGGGTTTAAGGTTTTAGTTGTGTGATAAAAGTAATCGTCAGTTCCCTGTGTTCCCAGTCATAAAAAATGAAGCATAAGAAATATTTTTAGTGTTGCGTCCAAAAACGCAAGGAAATACATACGAATGCATATGAAGGATTTACCTGATCTGCCAATATTTCCCTTCGTGGACCATCATAACGTTTAACCACCTCAGAACCATCGTAATTATTCCATGTTTCCCTATTCGTCCCAAGCAGAGTTGGGAACACAGTTTTTTCTCCCCATGAGATAGGGTTGCAATTGGCTACATATTTATTATATAATTTCATCTTGAATAACAATAAAAGTTTAATAGAGCATAACGAGAGGTTGTAAAATAAAATAGTGCATACCTGCAAACAAGGAAATTGAAGGAAACTTGTCTGGATTCCTTAGCCCAATGCAGATCGCTCCTGCTCCACCCATGCTGCAAATGTGTTGAAAGTTTATTATCATCCACTCGTCATAACTAACTCGTAATCATAGGAGAGGTTCTTTGGAAATGCTGATGCTTAAGACATTTACGTGACATTTTTGTCTACATCTATGTGATCCTTTATGGTTCTAAATTATTATTTAATCAATACCTGTGCCCACAGATTCCGAATTTTGGAAGTGCAGGAAAATGCTTCATTACTATGTCGTACAGCTCTTTTGAGACATAAGTGTACATTTGGTAGTGCTTCACGTAGGGCTCTTCAGTGGCATCCACGTACCAACTAGCTCCCTGTCCCACCCATTGACCTTTCACCTTATCCCCAGGCAGATCCACCCCTGCATTCAAATAGCATTATATGATCTGTCGGTTTAAAACATAGATAATTCATGTCTCCCTTACGAGGCGAGGTATCTGGGCATACGACAATAAATCGACTTGCAGCTGCATTATCGTGGAATTCGGTCCTGTTGATGAAATGCTAAAAAATTATTTTAACATGAGAGCGAGCAAAATTTATCAGACAGTTAAACTATTTATTTCCGTAGTCTTTTTATGAGTTAAGCTGCAATTAAACAAACCTGCTCGTTACACTCAGCTCCTGGTAGAAAGAAGATGACATGAAATTTCTCGTCGTACGAAATTTTATCAGGGACGAAGATGGAAAATTTCATGTCACATTTGTTTACAAAACTGTAATGCTTGAACACTGTTTGGACACCCCCACCAATGTTTCGTTGAAACAGAGTTTCCATACGTCCAGCCATTTTACAAAAATTAATGCCTGTTAATTTCTAGACGAAATTTGGCAGCAAGTAAATTGTTGGATTCTGCGAGAAAAAGAAAAGTCAAGAGGAAGCCAAATGCACGCTCTGCTGCCTATCACTGCTGTGAATATATTGCTAGACGCTGGGATACACATAAAACTACCATTTAAACTCTGGTACTTCCCTGAGGCCATCGGCAAATATGTATGTATGCACATACTTGGATGCATATAAATAATTGTTGGATTACGATTGGCTGCATACAGTGGTTAGATGCCAGTAAAAAATAACATATCGGGGAATATAATCTGATTAAGCCGCATACATGTATGTACAAATATATGCACAGGAGCCAGGCTACTTTCTGCCTTTTCTTACAGCCAAGCCAACCATTTTTTGAGGAACGTGCGAATGCGTGAGATAATTATGGTGGCTAATGCTGTGCATCAAATGCTCAAGAAAGGCCCATGAATATAGAGTTTCCATCACGTAAAACTTTTATTTAATAGTTTATATTGTTTCATGTCATAAACACACATATTGTGTCATTACCAATATTATTACTCTTAGCAGTCAGAGAAAGGTACAAAAGGCTTAAGGCTTATCGAATGCATTTTTAATAGAGTACGTCTTCAAAGATCACTGTCGTAATAAAAACATTAAAGGAAATCTTTTTAAAATCACGTTGAACTACAACATACACAAGGCGCAAGGTTCACTTTTCATAATAAAATTTACATATTTTACGTTACCTATGTACTACAATTAGATATATTGATAGTTGAGTTTTTTATTATTAAACTAGTCATCATCAAAATAAGTAAATACGAAACTGTTTGGAAGTGAAGTAACTTTGGGAAGCCTTATGAATTTTGGAGGATTATTAGATTCTGGATCATCTGTATCTTGTATGTCATCCACTAATTTAGCCATAATTTCTTCCTGAGCTGCTAATTCTGCTTCTAGTTCGGCTTCAATGTCCAAGTCATCCTCCATTGCTTTGTGGGATTCCTCTGATTGACAAATTATAAATTAATTAGTAAACTGACACCTCGTGAATATCCGATATTATGCAATAACTAACCGAGATGTTTCATTAAAACAGCAACAACCTGATCGTGATAATATTCAATTGAGTGTATTAAAGTTATAAACTTACTTGACCGTACGTCATAATTTTTTATGAACTTACCACATTCACCAAAACGAATTGAGCCATAAGTACAAAAACTACAAAGAATAGGGGTGCAATGAATTTTGAAACGCAACCTGAAAGAAAATCAAGCATGGTCAAATATATATGCAGCCGAATCTCTAAATAACCATGAAATAATTTTGTGCAATGCTTACAATTCCGGAAACATTCAGGAGTTGCATCACACTCATCGCGCAAAGTGTCCTGGTAGGATAATAATAATATTAGTTTTAAAATACACGCTCAAAATTAGAGGTAATCTTGTAAATCTTCAGTACCTTCATAATTCCATTCCAGTTATCTCCCGTTGCAACTCTAAATAATGTTAAGAAGGCCATCCCAAAATTTTCAAAATTTGCGTGCTCTCCAAGGCCTTTTATCACAAGAGACAAAAATAGAAGTTATAATACTTGAGAACAAACGGAAGTGTTAAAGGACAATTTTGGCTAAAGACGAGGCTAACTAACCTTCGCATGGATGTTCATCATCGCATAACAATCGTCCAAATAACTCGACGCCAAGTGCCGCAAAAATGAAGAACAACAAAAAGAATAGCAAACCGAGATTACCCACTTGAGGTAAGGCCTGCACCACTGTGTCCAACAAGGCTCGTATACCGCTTGCCATTTTCAGAAGTTTTAACACTAAATCCAAGAAAAATTATCCACATAAATAAATACTTTCCTGCTTATATATAAATACTCTACAATTGTATAATTTTATCGGGTTTATTTTAACAGCGCACCTCTAGCTATTCGAAGCACCCTCATGACCCTAAAAATAGAGAATTAATTATTGGTTAAAAATTTGACAACTGTTTTTATCATCATTAATTAGTTTTGCTAACGTTGTATACCTCATGATTGTCGGATTTATTGGAATGAAGTCACTCTCCATTTTCTCCAAGATTATACCAGCTATTTTGTTAAAAAAATACAAGATTTACGAGGGGCCCTTCAACCACCAAACTTAACGCTGCCACAAAATGTATTCAGTATGAAACGTCTAATTGCCTCTGACTGCTTATGACAAGTTCCCCCGTCATTGGTGAATTCCGGGGATTCGCAAACATGTTTTTTTCTAATGACCTCTAAAGTCATTGATTTCTCGAAATGGGTGCAAATACAAATAGTGGACGCAACGCGTGGTTTTGGTGGTTGAGAAAGACATTAATTAGCACTATTTTTCGTACGTACCTATCGATAAAATTACAATGAAGATATCGAGCTGATTCCATTTGCTCTTAAAGTATCGTTTCCATCCCAGAGCTAGCAATTTGAAGGCTAATTCCAACATAAATACGGATGTAAAAAAGTAGTTGAATACTTTTAGAATATAGTCTAATTCCTGTGAATAGATTAAATGTTTTAAACAACTTGTTGGTACGTAGATGTCCCCCAAAGTCACATATGTTACCTCTGGCATCATGTAAAACTCCATCGCCATTGTGACTACGTTAAGCCCGATTACCCCAGCGATGGCTAGGTCGAAATATTTGGAAGTCACTAATCGGTGAATTCTGATCCTCCAGGAGGCGAAATGACTCCAATACGGTGGTTCCCTCATTTCTATAATTATTTATTTTAGCATAATTTATTTTTGTTTCAAAGATAGCTTTAAAACCCTACTTCGGCGACGTTTTTCCATCTTCCTAGCCCGTTTCGCTGCTCTGCGTACCCTTTCCTATATTTTGGTTAGATCGAATAATTAATGGCATTGTAATAGAGAATTCGATGTTAAAGTCAAGTAGCATTGGTGTCAAATAATCTTGCTAATAATGCTAATATATTTAGCATTATTTTTATAATACTTCAAAAATACCTCCTTCTCCTGTTCTTCTCGACAGCGATGAAAGTTCTCCACCACAACCCCAACAAACATGTTTAGTACAAAAAACCTGAAATGCACCAGCACAATAAATATTGTCCAAGTTCAACTAAAAATTTCCTAAAAAATCGATAATATTTATTCACTAATTACCCCACTAGTAGAAGAAATGAAATAAAATATAGCAAACGCCACTCGTTCTCGTTCTCAATAGGCTGAAATGTACAGGATATTTATAAACATAAGAGAATTGAATAATTAATGACTATGAAGTTTAATAATTTACCTGCTTATCCACTTCTGTTGCATCTAATCCAGAATACATTATTCCGACCCAGCCATCCTTTGAGAGAAAATAGAAATTTTTATGTGATTAACGGATAGGTGGCAAAGGGAGGTGCAAAGATAAATTATAAATTCTCACCTTCGAGGCCAGTACGAATAATGACATGAGAGCTACGTTAAAAAAATATACATTACAAAATTAACTTTGAGACTTGCATGCATGAAATATTCTTTTCTCCCGAGATGTCCAAAATGCAATCAGTAAAGTCTAAACATTTACCCAGAAATTTTATGGCAGAAACTAAATCAAACTATGAATGCAAATTTTTCGTAATTGTCTCCAGATAAAAATTCTTTCAGAGTTTTGAATATTTTTTGTTGTTTAAGACAGAGACACAAAATACAAATATGAATTCGTCACCCTCTGATCTTACACCACTTTTAGCTTCTTCAATTTTTCTATTATTATTACCCTGGCCTAATTTTAATTATTTAGCTTTTATCACTGGAATTAGTTCATTGGATATCACGGGAGGCGACTTGATTCTTCACAAAGTGAAAGTACATGGCACAATGCATTATTTGCATTGTGTGCCCTGTAGTCTCAAATTATTAGGTTGATCAAATGATTAGATACCTTGACCAAGGTCATCAAAATTGTACTTTTGGTTTATCCATTTGTTTTGGGGATCATTTGACTTGCAGTCCCATCTATTTGTCACGTTTCTTACAGATTCCACAGATCCAAAGCAGTAAAAAAATTTGCCTGTATCAAGTTAAAACAGATTGAGTTGACATGTTTAAATTCAATTTTTTTAATGTATTTGCATTTACCTTTGAAAAGTTGTACGCCAAGTATGCCAAATATTATGAAGAAAGTACAACAGATTAAAACAATATTCCCAATTGGTCTCAGAGAAGACAGCAATGTTTGCACAACAAGCTTAAGACCAGGTGCCCGATTAATTACTCTAAGTGGTCGAAGAGATCGGAGAAGACGAAAGACTCGTAAAATTCCGAAAATTCTAGGACTGAAATAGAAAGCACACCCATTGTGAAATTTATTCATTATTATGATCATTCTAAACCCGAGTAAACAAGTGAGATGAACGCCATGCATGCCAAAAGCTGGTGACAAACGAACCTGCTCATAAAGACGGAAATGATTTGATCCACGACAGAGACAATTACCAATATTCCGTCCATAACATTCCTAATAAAATGTTAGTAAACCATGATTTACATATTCATAAGTAATAATTTATATGCATGTATATATTCTATTTACAATAATATGTAGTACAGAAAGGAAATTACTTACCATCCACTTTTGAAGTATTGTTGAAATCCTCCAACTGCAACAACTTTTATGGACATTTCGCATAAAAACATGACTGTAAATATATCGTTTGAAACCAGCAAAAAATACCTATAAAAATATAAAGCAAATATTATAGAGATTACATTATATAATCATTAAATGTATAAGAATGTTTCATAATGCATACTTTTCTCCTGAGTTGGGTGGAATGGAAGGTCTGCAAAAATAGAATATTGTTGCTTCTTGTTGGTAAATATTAAGGATAGATTTTTAGGAGAAAGCAATTAGAGAAATAGAGAAGAATCTAAACTTATGCTTGTACCCATCTTATATACATACATACGATGGGTATTTATTTCTGTATCATTAAGAGGAGTGCAATGAGGCAAATTGAGATTGCCGACAAAAACATAATGTTTAGCATGTATCGGGGTTATGCTGTGGTGATCAATAAATTCTATAAGCGCTTTCTCTCTCCCTCGCTTTCTCCATAGGATCATATATCCTTAGGATACCATGAGTGGTTTACCTTTCCATTGCCAAAGTAATACAATTCAGGGCGATTAGAAGTAAAATAAATCTATCGAAGGCTGGATATTCGACTATGGCATGACACCGCTGACGGAACCTGTAACAGCAACAACCAAATGACAATTAAGATACATATGTGCAACAACCCTCTCTGAATATTACTCAACAACGCATCCATCAAAAATTAAAAACTTAATCATGGAGAAATATTTTTTTTAATCCAGGATAATTCTTTACTAATTCAGTTTTATTACTTTGTTTCTGGGCCGAAGAGAAAGCACGAGTATTCAGATCTTCCTCGCAGCCAGTGAAGAGCATCTTGACACGATCTCTGTAGGATAACAAACAAACAACAAAATATTTTTTTGATGCAACTCTAACTGGTGAACTTAACGCATATTAACTTCAAAAATAGCTCATCCTCAGTCCAATGGAACACTTACTTTGAACGGTGTAATCTTTACACTGCCCACTAAACTTGGCGAGGGTGGGGTCCCTGCTAAACTGGCACATCGAGATTCGCACCAACTGTGAAACGTGTCAAAAATGCATGTACATATCTATCGCATTGCCGATTGTTGCGCTATTTCCTCATTCAGCTTTCAAAAGTGTGTTTACATTCAGAACAGTAAGGTTTAACTATGTGATATGAACGATAAAAAACAACGGCGGTCATCTTACCTGGCGTGAATATTGTTATTGTTATGATTACTGTGATCATTCATCTTTAAATTTGGGCTGAGACTGCATCTTCTCTCTTTTCGTCTCTGTTCACGATCTTCACGCCAACTTTTGGCTATCAATTTAATATAAGGCATGATTATTGTATGCAAGTGTAATGCTCCAGGGTAATGATGTAAATATTACCCCTCTTCAAGCAAGGACTCCGTTTTGGACTGGAAAGTGGACTCAAAGTTTGCGGACTGAGACTGGGAGGAGATAAACTGTAAGGACTTAAACTGTTGGGCGACATTCTTGAGTGGATCATCCCAAGCCCAAGGTCTGTTTGTGATGGATGAAGGTAGTACGACGAATTCAACGAAGAGTTGGATAGTTGTGCGGATAAAGCTTCCTTGGGAATCCTGATGTTCACATTTATATGGTTCAAGTTTACCCTGGAGCTTGTCACACTTGGAGGATGAGGAGAACCCTGTATTTACATATGCACACTTTTCATTTCATATCGCAGATAAATATTGCAGAGTTATTGCAAAGGTCACATGTGAAAAGTGTGAAATGTGTGTTATTATTTTTTTTACTATCTAAAATCTAATTCGTTTGATGTTAGTAGCCGGTTACTATTTTATAAGGTACATAAATATTTCTATATAAGCTAGGTTTGACTTTGGTAGCAGTGGTGGAGTGGATAATGGTGAAAGTGTGTTGGAGTTGGAATGCAGCAGCTATCAATTTGTTTCGTAATAATGATTTTGCACTTTGTAAGAAGAACTTTGTAATAATAAAATTACTACATTTTTAAAACCAGGGTGCATTTTTTGTTTTTTGATGAGTTGCTGCAATTCCTAATTAAATACGTGTGCTTTAAGGGAAAGTGAGAAAATATTTTTCCACCTTATTGTTCTTGTTGTTACAAAGCTGTGAGCATATAATGTAAAGATAAAAGTACAATCAATTCACCAGTCGAAATCTCAAATACCACATTGATACATAAAAATCTAAAATTGATTTCTATACATATTCTTTTAAAGAAACAAACTTGATTTTTTTTCTTTTTTGAAAAACATGGCTACATTAATGTTAATGGTGATTAGTATAGAAAGGAATAATTACCATCTGATTTACCTCTGGAGTGGCAGCCGTGTGCGTAATGATAACAGGGGCTGGACGTAAATTGGAGGAGCAACCGGGTGGAACAGGTGGTGGGGGCGACTCTAGGGCTTCTAAGGCTTTGGGATTGTCACCGTAATATTCTAAGGCTTTCGCTGCTCTGACTGCGGCTCTGGCCTCCGCCTCCCGTTCCTTCTGCTCACGTTCAATCCTTTCCGAACTGCAAAATCGTACGAAATTCGTGATTACTGCCAATTACTTGGGTTTGAGAATATGTAACACGGGGACGAACCTGAACCCTTCCACCAAAATAGCGACAAGAAGGTTGAACAAAACATAGTTTCCAAATGTCATCAACGCTACAAAATACAGAGCAGCCCAAGGACTGGTTCTCTCCATTCCGTTGAATAAGACAATATTCCAATCTTCTTGGGTTAACACCTAAATTTGTTTGAGCATGTAGTACGTAAGAATGAGTTCAATACACAAGGCTATCATCAGATATGCAAAAATTGTAAGCATTCAAGTGAAGAAGCATATGCAGTAGGAAAAGAAGTCTGCAACAACTCCAACCGGCATAGAAAATAGGAAATATTTAAGTGCAAAGTAAAGTGCAAACTACAAAACCTGAAACACTGTGATGCATGACCACAAAATGGTATCAAAATTGGATCTCGCACACTTGCAACTCGGGTAGGTCGACTTGATCTTGTAACAACAATCCACGTTGCAAAACTTTCCTCCAAATATCAAAGTTCCAAGCAAACTATGGGCATTCAAATTAAAAGTGCTCAAAATCATGACTTATAGCACAAACTTCTACATATTTTAATAATTCGTTCATTTATCATTCACCAACCTTTCAAAACGTAAATAATTTAAGGTAATCAACAACACAAACAAGTTTTTCAAACTATTTACGTACTTATGTCTCTACCAAATATCAATTCTCAGTGCGTGCATGTTGAAAAAATATTTAGTACATGCGCGTCTATTAATTACAATTTTTTAAATTGTGGATATTAGTTATTACGAATGTGTGAATAAGTCAAAATAGTCAAATAGCGTGCATATATGCCAACAAAGGTATCATTCCAAGCTTTACATACATACATAAATATGACACTCAATAAATAAATGCATATATGCTCTAGCTGCATCTTACTTGCAAGATCCTACACACACCAAATAACCTGTATTAACGCATACCTGGAAGACAGTTACCAGAGCCCACAACAAGGAGTCAAAGTTTTTTCTAAAGATGTATGGAATTAAATTTGAAATTAAGCTGTAATTTTGCGATATATTGACCCCAGAAATATGTTCTGACCTGTCGCAAACTTTCACCAGTTTTCCCTGAAGATTTATTGCGTCTGCACAGAACTTACATCCGAAGAGGTTCATACCTATCGGTTCAGAACCGAAATGTCAGTAACTATTTCACCCATCTATGCATATATATACATATACTGTTCATACCTAGGATACTATTCCAGAACATGGAAAAAAGCACATATCAATTAAATATATAAATGTTTGTTAAACGCTTCAGCCACAATAAAAATTAATTATGTGTTTATGTATTTATCGTTTTAGATTTTAGAAAATTAACAAGTCAAGTGTCATTACTAATGACTCGTTAGTCACAAGAATAGAAAAAAACTGATCACATACATGTGTTTGCTAAATATGTACTCGTATCATACGAGTCGTATGTGTTTACATATATTGCTGAAATAATTTATCTTTCAGGAAGAAATTCGCATGAAGCAACTATGGCGTTTATAACACATCTTGATCATTATATGCATAGTCGTATCAGGATGCACTAAAAAAATACTATTGAGTTTATCATTGACATTTTTTCTACCTATTCGGTATGTGTATGAAGGAGTGAAAGTTGCATGTCATACCTGAAAATGAAGATAAAGAGAACCAATAACCCGAAAAAAGTGGCTACCTGTAAAACATTACCAAACCCCACAAAGAATTAAAGTTTGTTTTAAAGAGAATTTTAAATTAAATTGCCAATTTTTGGTTACATTATCCATTGTTTTGAGCATGACCACAAGTTGTCGCCTCAGGTTGGGAAGAAATCGTACTAGTTTAAGAATTCGGAGTAAGCGAAAAGTTCGAAGAACACTTAAAGCACCTCCACCGCTAGCACCATGAATATCACCAGAAAATAATTTCTGACATATTTCTACGGCCGATAAAATTACGATGGTTCCATCGAAAACCTATGTTTGTGGTTTAACCATATTTACAACTTTTCAGTTAACTTCGCAGAGTTAATTTCTAGAACTTGTACTAAACTGTTTCCAACTTACGTCAAATCCATTGCTGACGTATCCTACAAATCCATAGGCCGTAAGTTTTAAGAGCATTTCAAGGAAAAACATTCCACTGAAGATGAAGTTGCACATCTCCACCATCGTAGTTAACCTGCAAAGAGAAAATGAAATGGTGACAATATCCAAATAAGTAATGCCACAGAAGTTCAGTGTAAACTTACCAATCGGGCTAAAAAATAATAACGAAAATTAACAACTTTGAGTATACTTCAATACAATTAATGTATGCAATGTATGCAAGTCAATAAGCGAATGAAAAGTGCCTACTTGAAGATGATGCTCAACTCCCATGGAGAAAGTGTTGATAAGGATGGCACAGAGAATTCCTTGTTGAAATAACTTTGACTCTACCAGCTCCCTAACTTTTGCTCGACATGGGCCCAGTTCTTCTGTGGGTCGGTGAGAAATGGAAAATATATCTGAACTCGAAGAACTAAGACTCCTGTCCGCATTGTTGGACGCGTGGTGATGGTGGGAGCGGAGGTCCCGATTGTTGGGACTGTCCATGGGTGTGGTCACAGTGAGTACGGGAGCGGATATGGAAATGGGCTGAGCCTTTCTCAGCGATGAAATCAAGGCTCCCCAATCAGGTAATCCAGAGACTGGGCTGGTGCCCAAGGCCACTTGTGGTAAAGCCCCCAGAGCCCCGCTGATGGCTAGCAGTTGAGGACAAGTGAAAGCAGTCGAACGGGGGCCGGATTCTTGCTCAATCTTTATCGAGTCCTTATTCCCTCGGACTTGACCAAGGTCGATTGTGTTTTCCTCATTGCGAGTAAATTTGCGTTTTGCTTTCATCTTCAATTTTCGAATCGAGTGAGCAATCAGTCTGAAATTTAAATGTGTTCATGTTTCATAATACGACTATCTCTTTTTTTTAATGTAGAGTAGAAATAATTATTATCAGACTTTAGATTATAAGAGGCCGACCATTGTAAATCCAAAATAATAACCATTAAACAGACCAGACTTTCATAGCCTTAGAAAAAAGGAAACTCAGAGGAGTAAGTTTACTCTGATTACAAAGACTATGTATAAAGTTCTGTATCATTGTTGGAAAAGAAAGTAAAAATAGATAACAAGCTCAGAAAAAGCAAGTATCGAGCCAGGGATTCTGCATATTCTGGGCTCTAAAAACTCTTGAGAATCGAAACGAAAAAAAAACTTTCGGAGCAACACGAAAAGTTGATAAATTGGAAAGTTACTTATTCAACCCATGGGACGAAGGTAGTTCTTTTACTGAAGATCCAAAGCAAGCAGACAATTTTTTTCGCATCTGATCAGCAGCACATCCTACTCTAACTAACGACATTGAGAAATTATTCAAATATGAAGAATGAAATATTGATTTATACATTAATTTAATTTAATTGTGAATTACAGATAAGGGAGAAAGTTGCTAGCACGAGGTTAGAGGTTAGAAGTACATATATATCTACTCGTGCAGCCTTCTAGCAGCTATACTGTCCAATTTCGTGCTGCTTCTATTATTTTGTTTAACATAGTAAAGTGCTCGCATTTTTATGTCAATGACACGAGAAGGTCAGAAGTACTGTGACTCGTCGTTGCTTGACTTTCACTTGTGCCATTTCCCGTTTTTTTACCCCATTAAGGACGAGTGAAAAAGGAGGACTTGTGATGTAGAGAGAGAGAGAGAGCACTTGACTTACTTGATAATTTCAGAATAACATGAGGCGTGTTCGATGGCTGTGAGAGTCGAGTTCGAGGTGAACCTTGCCCGTTCTGAAATCCGTAGAGAAAGAAATAGCAAAACCATGTTGCATGTGGCCCTTACTTCCAACTTACCAATTCTCATTCTCTCCAACTCTCGCTTTTTCGTTTCGCTGAATTGAGTTGCAATCACAACGAGGCACAAATTTATCATGAAAAAGGATCCGATCTGTAACAACAGAGGAGAGACAATACTTGTTACGGATCTAATGATGTTGATTGTTTCGCTTTTTCTCAAGTCTTGCAAGAACCAAAGTTTTGTTGATTAGAAAAACGGGAAATGAGTTTTCGCAATTCGGGACATACAACTTTGGGATCATACAACTTTATAGATTTCGAGAGATCCAGTGCACATGATAATTATACACTTACCACAATGAGAAGAACAAAGTAAATCCAGTCCCAGAATGAGTGTGCGTCTTGGACATAGTACATTCTAGAGTAGAGAATTATAAATACATCATACAATTCAGCGTCCACCATCGTGTACTACATATAAAAAATTTCATAGCAGTGCATACATGTCAGTCCATCCTTCCAGACTTATTACTAGAAATATAGCGACCTAAAGACAACACATTTTTCAGGTTTCTCATACTTGCTAATATAGAAATCTTCGATGATGATTGTTTCTTGCAAGTCTGACTCAATAATATAATCTGAAATATCTCAACTTACCCAAGCAAGACCAATGTCTGAAAAATAAAACGGAAAAATATAGGTTACTTTCTCCCGACCAATTTGTACCTACATATCCATGTATTCACGTACTGTCAAATGAAATAGCTCCTTGGAAAGGGTTTTTCTCTCCGGCTCTGCAATTTGTATAGTATTTGTTCCAATTTATGCAGTGTGTATCATTGGACAGGTTAGGCGACCCAGGTAAAGCGTCAAAAGTGCAGTCATAATTCAACTTAGTTCTCAAAGGGGGTAGGTCGTGACAAGTATGGAGGCCTAAAAGGGTGAAAGTAGACTTCATTTATTACTAATTAATTATTAAAGTTGACCGTGATTTTCATTGAAATAAGTATTGTGATATTTTCAAGATGAGATTTTCCAAAGTTGAGAATTGTACCGAGTTTAGCAAGTCTTTAGCAGCCATTAGTTATGTAATGCATTGGCCGGATTTGGACGTGAACCCATGTGCACATGTACATTCTGGCTGGTTTGTTCGAATGCATGACTGGAAAGGCGGAAAGTGAGGTCCAATTTCCTTGCACTTAATAATCCTTTCTTTCAACTCTTAACTCCGCTTCCTGCCTCTGACCTTCTCTTTCACAGAGTTGTCTTTCGTGATACGAGGACAGGATTCACCACGATTTAGGAGGTTTCATTCTCTTTTGAATTGAAATCGAAAGTCGACAACGGACCGTAACTGCTCAACTAATGGATTTGGAATTGAGCATGTTCCAAGTTCCAAAGTTCAGTCTGTCCAAAAAGAGAGTGCATATCACTCATACATAGTTATCTCTCGTTCATGGGCACACGAAACTGCACAGCCTGACGTTGATACATACATTATATATGTATTATTTAAGGGGATAAATTACATGCATTTAGTACTGAACTGGCTACCTCAATCTACCTTTCCTTAGCCGCTACCTTCTAATTTTAACCTTTCAACATTTGGCATTACATTTTACACGCTGTGTATTAAACTAAGAATGGGATCAAACCAGAGTTGTTTTTACACCGGGTTTTTGCACTACATCATGAATGAAAGTTTGCATTATCATTGAGGATTTATGTATGAGGTGAAAAGACCAGAAAAAGTTTGGTGAAGAAACAGTGGCATAGATCTGATTTCTGTTAGTTCAATACATCACACCACGAGTCCCTACGTAATAGTTCCTTTCCTTGAACCCTCTGAACCAACGGATTGAATGAGAGGTACAACGATGAATGAGGCGATTTAAGGCGTAACCTTTTGGGGGATTTATTGAATTATCAAAGATTTACTGGCGAAAAGCTACCTGAAAAAGGACAAGGCTCTGCTCAAGTCTTTTTCCACTTTCTACGACTAATTCCACTTGGGAAACAGATCACGTTGCTGGTACGCCGATCACGTCGATTCGTCCTATTTTTATCACAGATTCTTTATTACTTTGCAGATAATTATTGGACATTTCTTCATTGAAAAAATATTACATAGCGTTAACCCTGAAATAAGGTTTTTAAAACCTTGTTTTTCTGTTTCAAATGCCACTTTCCCAAGTACGTAGTCTCTTGGTTGAAATACAGACTACGAAAAAATCTGGTCAGACGGAGATTAATTATACCTCGTACAAAAATGAGATTTGTTCCACATCTTTTGGAGTTCTCAGCTCGTGACTTTCTACAATTCTATATCTATATTTCCCGTTTCTTACATATATCCATATGTTGGTGCAGTCATTAGAGCTGAACTGACCAACTCCGGGTGGTGGTAGAGAGATAGAATATTGCACAGAGTTTCATTTTTCATGTTCAAGGGTGAAAGCACAATCCAAGGTACTGCATGCACCACACAATTTTCTCATAACTTGTCCGCATTTGAAACATGCCCCTTCTTGTTGGTCATATATATACGTGTAAGTAAACAGATATACGATTGCATGACGCAGTACAAAATTAGTGTTTTGTGACCAAACTCGCAATATATTTATATATGTATGCAATACATGGTGCAAGTAAATACTTGTTGACAAAATTGTTACATGACCAGCCAGGCATTATTATATGAGCAAAAATATGTTCCGTCCCTGTAGTAGATAAATCGTCTCATGATTTCTAGGATCATACACAAGAATGGATTACCTTTCCCTTTTTCTGTCTCTTTGTTCTGTGCTGTAAACTGCTTACGGACTGTGGAGAAAGCATGTGATCAATTTGAGGAGTATGGGGCAAGGCACCTGTCCTTTCCATGTTAATTATAACATGGGACATATAGGCCACACAAGGGGGAGGAGTAAAAATTCTTCAAAAACCGATTACATGCTTTATATACTGCCCTTTGTTGTTGCATACTTTGTAACTGCTGCGGCTTAAAGAATAGGTGGTGTAAAACATTCCGTTTTACTTAGCAAGCCCACAGAATAATTTAATTTTTAATGCAAGAATTTGACTTAAATAGAATGTGGGCCTTGAAATCTCCATTGTCAAAAGCCAAGATAGAAACTCTCTTTTCAACCTTGATACCCAAACTTGTAAAGCATATGTTATGAAATGTAGAACAAACTGCAATTCTCGTTTGATAAGCCAAGTTACACAGCAAAGGTAAATTAAGTTTGCATTTTTTATGAAACGAGGAAAGTTTCAAGTAACATTTGTTCAATGAGAAACTTCCATACAAAATTTATAGGCATGCATCATCATGCCAGCACGAGAAGTGAAAATACAGGAAGACAATCGTACCCCACTCTAAGCTCGCAAAGAAGGACGATAATGCCGTTGATGCTGGTGCTACATGCACTAAATATAAAATGGATGAAGTTCTTGCCTCCTTGTAAAGTTCGTACGAACCGTAAGCGAAACACTGGATGTAAGTATGTACCCAACTCTAGGTTTAATTTCACCCAGGATTTGTTATCCACATTCAAGGTCGTTCTTTCAAGCCTTTCGTAATAATTCTCATTAACATTAAAATCAATAACTTTTCATCCAGAGGCACGAAAGAAATCTGTATCCCACTCTAATGACCAGTTGAGACCTAATCACACCGTGAATTAATAAAACGAAACGACTTACCATTATCTTTTGTAAGGGAGCAAATGTAATCTCGATCTGGATTGTCATTAAGTCTGTAGTACGCACTGAGCGGCCTGTGGAAAAAGGTAATAAGTTTTGATTTAATCCAAACACAAAACAAGCTTACAAGCTCACACATAATAACAGCAAACTAAAAACTACTCAAGGTATTTAATACACATGATTTTTCCGGTTTAATTGTCGCAAAAATATTTGCACAAAATTAAAAAATTTGTAAATATTGGCATTGATTATTGAACACATTAAACTGTAGGCCCTTAGTAAAGGTGGTTAAACCGTATAAACACGCCACACTGGAGGACACAAAGACATAACATAAGTTGTTACAGTTTGTTAGCAGGTACCTGTACAATCGAAAAAAAATTGAAGGCAGGACAACACGGGTTCAATTTTAACATGAATGAAGCAAAGTCCCCCTTGACGAGTGGGGAAAAACTGCTCTCACTTTTTGCGTCCGCCCATAAGCCAACATTTCACACATTGAGGATTTACAACCGTTTAAGCATTTTTTAAAAAGAAAACATGGTAGGTTTCGGAAGCAGATGGAAATGTTTCTTTTATTTTTTGGATCAATGCCAATCTCAAAATTCAATTCAATGGACGAAGCCAGCAAAAAATCTAGCATATAGGACTTGTCACACGTTATAGTCATCGACCAATTAAGAGTAACAAATTATAATAGGTAATTCCAAACATTTGGAATTTGTGCTAGTGTCGTGTACTCAAACTCAGAACTTAAAAAAAACATTAAACTCAAGATAGTTAATTTACGTTCCAACAAAATTAAAAGTGAGGAAGGTGCTGCATATTTGTACACATTTATTAGTTGTGCTTCACATGACATTGAAGAGCCATGGCTTGATTGTCATCTTTAAATTCTTGTTAGTACGCTTAGGATTAAAGTTGATGAGAGTATATGGTCATTCATGCAAGTAACCACAAACCATACCGGTATTATTTTCTGTGTTATTCATCATCATACCAGAATTATGGGCATCACACGAGTGCAAGAATAAAATAATCGAAAAAAAGGTTTCCATACTTTGTTCACTCTTGTGCATACTAAAATGTAACTTAAATCATGCCATTTTCCACAACCTTTTATAATCTCGAAACTTGCACTCTCCGTACTATATACGTACGTAGGTTTAACAAATCTCAGCAAATAGGACACAAATTTAAGAACACCGTCATACAATAATACCACACACGTAAGTAGTTGGGTGTTCTAACTATGGTGCAGCATGAAAATCTACCAACAATTATATAATAGTGAGTGTTATCACGTATTGCCGTTTCAAACTCAATAGCACAGCTACATAGTAAAATAGGTGGCATGAAATAATTAGTGGAGAACTGCCCTGGTCGAACGAGGTAGGGGGGATTGCAAAGGGTCACAACAGGTATTAGAGGTCATGGGACAGTGACACACAACTCGAATCATAATAGTTCCTTACTGCTGCAAATTCGGCACTCGAACCGTGTAGAACTGTTTCAACTGTTTCAGTGTACTGCGGGATCGAAGGATCCGATCGTGGAATGGAATTGAATTGCATTTACCCAACCAAGAATTGCAAGAGACACAGGAGAGAGAAGTGGTGGAGTGCAGAGATAGATATAAACAAACACAACAAAAATTACGTTTAGAAATATTGTTCCGCAATAATGTGATACAAGAATTGCGCATATGAATAAATACACACGACTACATAAATGTCCCCAGTCATTGTCAAAGCTTTGCAAATTTTCCAATTAAAAAATACATCGTATTGTTTCATTACTTAAAAATTATGTTTATCGAGGGGAAAATTTTCAATCAAACTATTTGCTACATCTTTTAATAAGTAAACTAGTTATGCATTCTACGTTTACGAATGATCACAGTTAACCAAAGTTGATAAGAGTTTGGTAGACGCAAAATATGCTCAACATCTCTCATTATTAAATACTTAAACTTTCATTAAAAATTTGACAAAAATTTACAAAAACAGAATGCAAAAATTCGATTACGCACTCAATCTCTTCCGTTGTGGTTCCCGAAGGTAAATCGATGAAGCAGCGTTGTCGCAAGGTCCCCGCCCACAATTGTACGCCAATGATACCGAATATGAAAAAGACGAAAAAGCACAAAAGCAGGACGTTCCCCAGCATTGGCAACGTATCTAAAAGTAACATCACAAGTATCCGCATACCTGGAAAAGAAAACAACATCGTCATCACTAATTTTGTATCGTCATACCCAAACAGATTTCATTATTATATAACATGCATATTGTTGATTTTCAGTTAAACAACTGGTGGACTGCCTGATCCTGCCTGGTGTTGAGTGATGCAAGGCAAATGTTAACAAAAGAGATCGTTTGCATCAGAAACTTGTACCTCTAGACTGCAGTACAATCGTAAAAATAGCAGTAAAAGCAGTAAGAAAGCAATTCCACAATTTCCATGCAGCCGTCCTGAAACTGAAGCCAGAGAACACGTAGGTGTTATTATTGAACTCTAATCCTGAATAAAAAAATCTCCTTTTCTCGTTGGTATGATAAAGCAGCATTATCACTTTTGCCCTCGGTAAACATTACTTTCTTCCCCTTGTTCTGGAAAACAGTCGCTATAGCCAAATGGCCACCATACCTACGCCATTCCATACAATGCTCACTTTATTCTCAGCTCTGAGCTCAGCCCTGCATTCAGGATTATATTTTGTTGATGGAAGAGCTAAAGTTAATCCGAAAGACGGGGTCTGCTGAGCTGACCATGGGCTTCTTCCTTCGATCTTCATGTTTCAATCAATATTTCACTCAACGGTGACCGTATCTGCGACTACAACGGAATGGGATGAGAACCAAATGATGAAACGGAGACGGCGTATACTTTTCCTTAGTTGGTGTTACGCAAGGTATTCAAGCCGGTAGTTGCTGTAGTTCTGATAGAGTGGTTGTCCTTAAAGCAGTGTTCCACTGGAATCTGATTCCGGATTTTGTCAGGAGATTCAATAGCATTCAAACTCATGATATCCGTTGAAATTCGAATCAGGCGTATGTACATATCAGGGATTCGTGCGAAGACTAGACAGTTTGCGTCAATGGATCATATTTATGTATTAAGAGTGAGCATGTTGTAACTCCTGCAATTGCAACTTCAGTCAGTGTTCTTTTATTTTCCTTGGTGGATAGAAGCAGTGTGATGTCACAACAATGCATTCTCTACACTCGATTGATGCAAAATCTTTAAAATAAGTTATGGCCAAATAAATAAGATTTGAAAATAAATTGATTATCTTGCACATTTTTGCGATGATAAGTGTCTTGTCCGGGGAGTGTATGTATGTCTTCTTCTGAGAGAAGAATATTTCAGTGCTCTTAATTTTGATGCGTCTTAAAAATATCAAAGGAGCTACTGCCATACCGCATTTACAGTAAAACCTCGTCCCTTTTGTAATACAAGATTGGACTAACGTGTATGTACGGACCGCATGTGCAAATATTGGAAAAGTGTTGATTTGTTTGTGGAGCATAAAGCTAAGGCAAATTTGATACGATGTAACAAGAAAACTAATGAAATATGAGGAAATGCAGGATGACCAAGACAGAAGTCAGTCCAAGTAATAATTTAACGTTTGGATAATTCAATTTGCAGAGAAAAGTAGAAAGTTGTGACTCACTTGGGATTCGATTAATTGCTCTCAACGGTCGGAGAACTCTTATGGTTCTAATTGCCGTTAAGTTCACATTTCCCTAAAAAAATCATCAAATATTCATTAAAACAAATAAAACACACATTTCAAAGATACATAGGCACATAGCTTTAAAAAAATCTAGATTTAACTTGCTACATTTACATACATATGTCATCGAAATAATTAAACACAAATCTCAAACTTTGCAGGGAGAACTTTTAAATAATTATGAACAACCAGTTCATTCGACTCGACCCCTTGCAAGGTTTTGTGTCGCAAAATTAGAGGAATCCAATGTGACTTTGGTATTAATAATTTTCTATGCATGGAAATTGCTTTTAAAGGAATTTTTCATCCTTGGTTCTATAAACTCAAACAAACTCATGGGACTGGATTTTTTTTAGGAAACTCGGTGAAACTTTATACATTCTGAAAATTGGGCGAGCCAAAGGGTCATTTCAACTTTTTAAAATATTGGTGGAAAATGGAAGTGGTCCGATGTTGTCGTCATCTGCAAATCATGTCCATCAAATTTAATAATGATCATTTACCTCAGTCTGAATGCAGTACTCTGCCACCCTGAAATAGAACGAGAATAAAATCCATTTGGTTAGCAAAACGCTCATGAATAATGCTACATTATCGCAATCTGTTTCCATATAACATTTCATACTCAAAGTCACGAGGTATCATGTATAATACGTAGTTTATCTCCTCATCTAAAATTATTTCACTGATATTAAAAGACATGATCTTTCTTCGGCTGGTATTAATATATTACCCTAAAAAGTATGTATTAATATTGATGGAATTATAATAGGGTTGAAAAGCCTCACAAATAAATTTTGGCAATAATGCCTTGTCAAACTGCTTTCTTTACTAGTTAACAGGATATGCGGATTCTGCAACATTTTCCGTTGGTATGTTCGTGTGTATAGGATGATGGATGTTTACGTTTCGCGTTTTAATGGTGGCGAATGTGGAAAATAGAAATTTGTACAGATAGTTCTTCAAACATGTATGACGATGAGAAGGAAAAGAGGCATTAACCTCTTAGACTCCCCTATGTATCTGCATACATAATAATAATATGTATGTATGGAACTATGGACATGTGTATAACACACATACTTATGCATATCTCTATTTGATAACTTATAAGGATAACTTTGATAAGGGAAGGAGCACTGCCTTTATGTATTGCGTTGTGCTTATCTCATTTTGCCTCATAAATAATATAATAGGTGATCTACTAATGCAACAATCTGAAAGATTTCTATTCCATAAATTTCACCCTAAATTTCACCCCAAGATGAAATGCTACAACTCGAAATGTTGTTTCGTTTCTCCTCGGACGTCATCATGCTTTATATCCATTTGTCATATTGACAGGTAAACTAATGCCCCGGATGGAAACTAGCCAAATCTTCTTATTCAAAGTATTTGAATAAGATATCGTCACAATAATGCATTTCAAACTTTTTGAGACGGAAGACGGAACAACTTTCCCTTTGTACTTTGTGTTGAAAGTACTTATCTTATGAATTGAACTTTCTTCATGTCTTCTCTGCAGTAAGCCTCTCATATTTTTTTGCACGTCTGCATTTTCTGAAATACGTACATATTCGTACATATACATATATGCGTTCAATGAATCAGAATCAGAATAGAATTCACGTCTGCCCACTTATCAACTTATCCTTTAGACGGAATTGAAATGTGCAAAAAACGTGGAAACTTATTAATGGTCACTTGTTGACCTCAAGATTTATGTATTCAATGACCCACTTACGATTAGTGGGACATTAAATCTCATTGTAGCGAATTATTATTATTCGTCAAAAAATAGTTAAATCTGGGTCAATTGTGACAATAAACAATTTTGAATGAGGAAAACGGGTAAATGATGAGCACTTACAGACTGCGCCAAGTGAGCGGTGTCAAAATTAATGGGTCCGTAATATTACAAATTTGACAACCTTACTACAAACTTTGATTAGATTAAAAGCTTGCTTGTGGCTAAAACCAAAACTTCTTTAATATCCTCTCGTGCCTCTTGTTTTCACTTTCTGTCTGTTGAAATAATTAAACCTCCATCTGTTCTAGACTGGATTGCGCATTTTAACGTGGTGAGGTTTGTATATGCCCAACTATTCGCCAAATTTAAACCTAACTTTTAATGGCATTTCTGAAGTTTCATCACCAGTGGCTGGTGTCAGACTGTTTCAAACTTTTATCAGCAATTGGAATTACTACTGCATACACACAACCAATTTGCAACGGGTTAATTACACGTAGCGAGTTGCATTCATCACCCATAGACTTGCTCTTATCTAGAAAATCACTAGTTTTTAGCACAAGTCGGGGATTATGGAACCGAACCTTTGTGTGTGTCTGCCTATGACATGCTATATACATAGCTGACGAACCCCTGCACCGATTTTGACCAACTAGGTGTTAAAATGCGTATCCCAACAAGGCCTTGGATCAGTTCGAAGATATGTCTTCAAGTTCGGTCAAGTGGTTGACCCGTGGGAGTCATATGTATAAGTAGGTGGATGGGGCATTATGAACCAAAAAATCAAGATATTGTTGGAAAGCTGAAATTTGACACACATATTGCTAATGAGAGGGTGATACAGTTTTTTTAAGTTGCAATTTTCAGCTGAAATTTGGTATGGAGGCTAAACCTGACTTCTGCATAACAAATACATACAACTGTCATCCACAGTCCGGTCAATACGGACCACAATTTAGAAGTCGGTTGTTTCCCTGACTCGGGCTAAATGAAGTATGTACACACTGCTACTGTATGAAATTGCGTTATGTACTTACCCAGAGAATACGATGAAGCAGTCAAGCCAATTCCAACCTAAAACAATAAATTATACGTCAAATATGCAGCACATTCCATACACTAACTAATACTTATAACTCAACATTGTACTTACGATCGTTGAAATAAGCTCCACGACCAACGATTCCCATTGCAATCATCTTGATTAATAATTCAATGGTGAAGAAACCAAAAATAAAGTCGTCCAACTTCTGCGATAAATCAAAGAAATACAAAGATTTATTAGAGAACTATTTAGTAGTCTCACTTTTCCACCTCTTACATACATACTCCTCATCTTTTCTATGCGAATTGGGATAGTCACACAGCCTGTGACGCAGTAAGGACTACGGGTATTTGTCTTTCGTCGTATTGAATAGTCTCGGTTGCTTTACATCACAATAATGATAAAATAATCTCTTAATTGTTGCGAATGAAATGTTGAGGACATTCGTAAAAATTAATATCTAAAATCTGAACGCTTGCGATGGATGTCAATTTCAAATTGTAACGTTGTGTCAAATTCTCATTACAATATATTTTTATAGTAAAAAGTAATTTGAGTTTTAGTTGCTAAACATAATGGAATTATAATAGGCCACTTTAAGTAGGAGAAAGTTTAAGTGATTCAGAAGAAGGTGAAAAAATGCCGAAAAATTAATAAGTTAATTAATACTTGCAAATAGTGAGTTTGTGGTCTAAAGACACAAAGTTCATTAGCAAGTTTTCGTTAATTAACTACTATTTAAGCGTTGTGCCTGCATTCATGAAAGTTTCCTTGTTAATTTGTCTGGAAGTTTTAACATGAAGCATGGAATTAAGGTTGTAAGCATAATCTTTCATTTAACGTACTCTTAGACATACAAATCTTAAGAAAAATACACAATTTTTCAGCACTTTCTGAAATGTGGAATAGATGAGATATTCTCCATTGGAAAGCTTTCACGTAAACGTTGGTAAAAGCAAATAGTTAAATAATAAAGATCTCAATTCTACTGTACGGTCCTGAACACGACGAGCAGTTGAATTGGGAAGTTATGCGAGCAATTAAGTCCAGGATGCATGTCCAATTTAACCATGTAGATAAAGCGGCGGTCGTAGAAGGGCCATTGTATGCACACAAATCCACACAATTTTACGTGTACATTTGTACAAAATACATTAAAGCTACAAAAACTTGGTGTAATTAGTTTATGATAAAGAACACTCGGGGCGCGAAGAATGATTATTGATCAGCACAATGAAAGTCGAAAGATCAAACCCATTTTTTCGTTTGACTTTTCAGTCAACGAAAAATGATTAATTAGGCATAAAAATCTTGGTAAGATTTACTCCCATTTGCCAGCTCCACTTTTCCCCGCTTTGCCTCTGACTGTTATATCCTGCTTTTCCAGTTTACGAGGAACATAGCGACTGCACTACTTGGAGAAAGTTGGGACTATACACAAGTTCCATAAGCATGAGAGGTCGTAGCATGTGCATCTGATTTTTATGGCAAGACTTTTCCACTTCCTCCGTGATGATAAACTTCCAACTTTAGCTTGAGATGAAAAATGGAGAAAGAAATTTTACTAATCGACCTCAATTTCTTTTATGCTTCCGCCTCCCATTTGGGCGGTGCTTGGTGGTTTGGTCAAGTGAAATTTATCCGTAGGGACACTTTTCCACAAAGCTCTACTATCTACAACGCTTGGTAAGAAAGATTGCAGCAATTAATTCTACAAATAACAAAATTAAGAAATCTGTTGAAGCGGTTGCATTTGCATATCTGAGCAGTCAAGTTACGTATGTACAAATTAATCCTGTGGACACGATTAATTAACGTGTGGACACGTAAGGCCACGATTCGTGTCCTTACTCTAATAATACTTATGTTAGATATGTACTTGTAAAGTATATAATTGCAAAAATTAATGAAAAATTATTCAACTTAACTAATCATACACACATTTATGTCCATCTATAAACCTTAATTTAAATTACACTAGTTGTAGTACAAGTTTAGTTATGCGCTGACAATAGCATCTACGAATGCATATAATTTAAAGTAGAAAAAATAAATCAAGTGGTCAAATTCAAAGAAAGAAACTCAACATGGAACTCTTGTTAATACTTTCCATCCATTCCAGACATTAATTGTCAACTATACCACAAAAACGAGCCAAAGCCAAATGTAATGTAAGTATATTCAAATGTTAAGATTACTTTGAGTTAGTACAAAGCCCGAATTCCTGAATCTTATTGAAGTGAGATTTACTGTAAGAGCGGAATCAGGGCTGCCGATAAATTGGTAACGCAAATCAGCGTAACCTTGTGTTTTATGACGGGAGCAAAATTGCTACACCAAATTTCATTTTCACCAAATGTCAATTCCATCATTTTTATTTGCCAACACAGTTTTACCACAATCTCGAGCCTTCCTTACTAACAAGTAGCAAAAACATGGCGTGACTTTTGTTTATTACATCGTTATTTCGAGTACACTCATACTCGCTCGCTACATATATTTAATGGCTCTTACAAAACACATCTTTGCGAACTAATACACAAAATTCCAGTAAATTGGAGCATAAAATCAATTGCACTATTAATCTAAAAATAGTACAATGGTACACCTCTGACGGCGGTGGCGTTAAAACAAGTGCACGGGAAGGTCTTCTTGAAAGGTTAAAGTCCTATCAATAATATGTGTTATGCATGTTATTTCATTATTGCCACGTGGCTCTTGTAACTTGACTTGGTCTAGTTTTTATCTATGTCTGATCTTGAGATCAATAATATGACGAATGTGCTATGTATGTACGGACAATACATAAAATTAGGAATCAAAACGACTAAAATCCAATAACTTTAGTCTGTTAGTTTCAAAGATCAATTTCATTAAAATTGACCAACAGGAAAATCTGACATCCTTCCGCAAAGCTGAATGTTTACTTTGATCATTTATTTGATTTCCGTCGGGGCCCCTCACCATGATACGTTCAAACTCGACGCAGTAATAACATAGCCAATAGAAAACGTGGTATTTTGAGCTATTTAATACAGACGAGAGAAATGCTCACAAAGCTAACTTTTGGCCAGCCAACGAAAGAAAATGAAACGATAGGAAATAGGACCATGGGCCGAAATTTCGCATTTATGGGAAGTCAGATCAAACGACGTATTCCCAATTATTTGTTAAGTATGTTCATACATAGTGAATGGCATTCAAGTAATCATCCCAGTTACGTGTACAAGCTGTATTTGTGATCAGCGAACCCTTTGTCATTTCTGCGCGTCTACAAGTTCTCGCAAATGAGCGTGTGAAAAGTTGTGGTAATTGGGGCGAAAGGATACGTACAAATAGTTGAGATCAAATAAAAAGTTGGCACTCACCTGAAGGACTTGACATCTTGGCGTATCACATTTGGCATCGTCCTCACAAGGTCGGTACATACCTAGGGTAACGCAGTTGATTAAAATGACCAGGATGCTGATCCTCTCGAACCACGTAATTATCAGAGAAAGAGAGAGAAGTTAAGGAAAATATCGGTTTCATTGCCTGTCAAGACTTTATGGTATCATTCATTGCTATTTTTTCATTATTACTTATTGATGACAATCCTACATTACCAATATGCTACTTTAATAGTATGTATGTACTTATGTCTACACATGTTCCAATTTCAAATGTACTACTTACCGACCAACCAACCAACACTATCATCAAACAACACAAAAGATACACACCAATTTAGAGTAAGGGACCATACTAAGGTAAATATACTCCTAATGATAAAATGTGTGTAGAAAGCGAACTGTTAAATTTTCTTAAGAAACACATAATAAGCTGGATTATCAAAGTGCACACCCACAGGAAGGAAGATTCAGGTCATTTCAGGTCGATTTCTTATCTTTCTGTTAGTGTAATATGGCCTGTGATAATTTCCTGAAGTGTCATCTTTATCTGACCGAGTTCCGGTCGTTTATTTTGATGTCTTCAATTACAGGATACATTTATCAAGATTGTTTTCGCAACGTTTACGTTTAGATTAACCCGCTGCAGAAACTAATAGTTCTTCCGAAAACTCTATAGAGTTTACACCTTTATAAAGGTGTAATTTCAAGTTTTAACTCTAATTCAAAGAATTTTTACATTCATTTCGGATTTATTGAGATTTATTGATAATTTAGAAATGCATGCTAATTTTTCTGCTCCACTAGATTCCCCTTTTATACGTGCACACATATATTGATTGTTTAGTTTGATCTGCTTGACACAGTATTTAAATCGTATTTTGTACGAGAAACAATTAATAGCATCTAACTTTTCATTGTTAATTTACACATGTCCACAGCATGAATAAATAACTATTTATTCTCCAATTCCACCAATTGAAGTCCTCTGAATTGCAAAAGTGGAAGGTGTTGGGTTTCATGGTCATTTATATATTCGCAAACCTGCGTAACTTGAGCCGTAATTGGATTCAGAGTGCCTACGCCACAATCCTATAATGCATTTGAAAATTTTATTTATGTAGACATTTGTGGGTAGTATGCATAATTAAGTTGTCGTTAGAGTGGAGTAGAATACGGTGTAAATATGCAAAACTGGCAAAATTATAATAGTAGTTCGAGTGCAAAGCAAATGGGTTCGGTGTGGTTCAGTGAAATTCCGAACCTGTGTGCCGTGTACCTTCGAAACATGTGTAAATAATTATTTGTGTGGGTTGAATTATGTATGTATGTGTCGAGGCGAAAATCTATTTGATATTTGATTAGAGTCACGGGCGAAAGGGGAGAAAAATGTTTTTATTTATGATTTCCAGATCACTCCCAGTGATTACACGCATCCGTTTCCAATTCCGCGTATTCCGACCATATTTTCTCATCCGATATTTCATTCAAAATTCCCTAGGATTATCGGCTCCACCAGAGAAAGACTAAATTATTGGAAGCATAAATACGTAGGTGCTCGTTTGGTTTTACGGTGTGAGTCAGAGAATAAGCTCATCTCGCCCCCACATTTTCCTCCCGTCGTCGTCTCCTTCGTCCAGTCAAACCGACAATGTAAGCCAAGTTACAATTTCCAGACGCACATTTATTTACAATTTTCTTCTAAGAATCTGAAGCGTTGAAACAATCTAGGCACAAAAATCTACAGTGCAGCGTCATGTAGCCCGACTCTGTCATTTGCTTCGTTTCTTTCTTAATTTCCCAGTGAGGGTTACTTTCGAGACTCCCTGCGGGTAACCCGGTTGGGTCCCTCTGGCAAAAAAATTCGTGAATCTGGCTTTAAATTCTTTGGTCTGATAGGCGCTTGGATGCCAATTTCAGGTTTTACCGACAACTTGTAAAATGTGGTGTTATTCACTGAAATGATTCATCCTTATCGAAATACATCGAAATTTTTAGAGCATTTAAGTTAGCCAAAATTGGTTCAAGACATACACACGAACAGAACGGGTATATAACTCTTGACTCGGGTTAACAAGACCATGTATTTCAACTAATTTGGTTTTTGTACCTGAATTTTCAAATCAAAACAATTTTTTTTGATTTATTACGAGTACTCTGCATCCACACACACACAACTCAAACTGTATCTTAAAAATTTCAACCAGAAATTCGAACTATGGTGTGTAAAACTAAGCTAATTAATTTTAACCAGTAAATTGGTAAAGGTGTGTTTCTTGGAAGATGATGCTGCAGAAATTATTTGAAGTCGCAAAAGGAATCCTCTAAATGGTTTAGCTCATTTTATTGTGTAATTAATTCGTAATTGGCAAGTTGCTGGTGCGAACAGGCAAGAAAATTACATCAGTCCTTATGCAATTAACTCCACACATTTCTCCGCAGCCGCAACAAGGAGAAAGGAGAGTCAAGAAGAGGAGTTGCTGAATCTGGAGAGCCCAGTGATAGCCAGTAATTGCAAAATAAATCCATCCACCGCTCGTGCAGATGGCCATGGTCAATTAGCCTTAATTTCTTCCTCCCTCCCAGCGAGGAGACAGCCGGTACAAGTTAGAATGCTCAGTGATGAATACTGCTAAATACATAATCCGAAGCATATCACGACGGGATCTACTTCCAGAAAAAGAGAGTCGTACCACTTCACATAGTTAATTTTGATCCATGTAATTCTAGCGACAAAAATGAGCATATCATTTTTGATTCATTGTCCCAAAATCATATGGATTATCCAACAGCCTCGTAATGCAGGAATGTAATACCAAATATCACAAATCATTATATGAAGACGTACCGGATTGTGAGTTAATAAGGTATACTGCACTTACACCATTCTTTACATCCTACTCCACCCAAAGTCAACAGTCTGTATAATACGATCTGATGTTCACACACGTAAGCATACTCATTGTTGGCTGGGCTAAAGCTGATGTTCTTGTTCCAGTGGAGAAAGCCCTTATTGTCTTATTCATTTTCCTTCCAGTCCAATTTCTGAGTCTCTGCACGTTTATTTCCGCCTTTCCCCATGACTCCAATAATAATCTTCCTCAGCAGAAAACTCTCATCTATACCATTCATTCTATACCTATGCACATACACAACTGCTCAACTTCGTCATTAATCCACTGCCTCCTCCCTTCACCAGCCAAGCAGAAGAATTAAGTAGTAGTTTGATTCACGAGAGCGCAAGTAAAAAGATTGTGATTGCACTTGACTCTTTTACTACGGAACGGAACCTTTGATGATTTTATACCATCGCGTCACCATTAATCTTGGGCCAGCATCCACTCTTGATGAACTCTGACGAGATTAGATGTGCATGTCCCTCCATCATATCTTGGGCATTTATTATTTTTTTCCGTATATGAACAACTGACCAGACTTTACTGCCGGAAAGTAAAAGTAAAAGTTGCACGATAATGATGCTCTCCTAGTAAAAAAAAGCTCCTCTAGAAAAAAAGATGATTGCAGCGGAAGAAAGCAGACGAAACTTGCAAAGTATATTATGGTCATAAAATGATGAGTAAAACATTCCAGCACAATAAATCGCGAATGAATCAACTGCCAAGCAAGGGTCCAATGTCACACTTGTCACGTTGATGCCTTTTCATATGTTTGTTGTGCAAATGGAACTTCACTCACTTCACACTGTCACACCACCCATTGTACGAATGTAACATAATTTATCACGCATAAGAGCAGAAACAATCGATGGGCGCATAATGGCGAGGAAGTCACTTGCCTCTGTTGTCAGTGAAGTATTGATTACTCACATAAATTGCATGTCCCTCTCGGAGAGTTGTGCAGCATAAGATTCAGTTGGACTCTGGGAGGAGGCGACTTTCACTGCTTGAATCAGCTTTTGATTTCGTTGTGGTGGTGACGGTGTAGCCGCAATACTTTCTTCTGCCTTGGTGACTGAATTTCTTGGAAGAGTGGGTTGCAAGAAAAACTACAACACATTTCATGTCATTCTAAAATCAATACAACGTTTGTCACCTTTGATACTGTGAGGCGAGCGTGTATGACCACAATTCTGTCACATGAACCTTTATAACTAATCATATTTTTCCATCTATTACAGTGCCACAAAGCGGTGCTAAATGGATATGTGACATTGTGAATAGCTATTGATATGCCTACCATGCACGTTTTGATAGACAATGTGTCTTGTCAAAACCTACATACATGTGCATACACCATTTAAAATTCTATCCAGTTCTGTTGAACCATGCCTCCATATTCTGAATGTAGATTGATGTGCATGTAAGTATGGCAATACATTACATTTTTAGTTAGGAATTAACCTACCTGTGGATCTCCTATTTTTGGCAACAAACATAATAACGCCCACTGTGCAATATGATACAATAAATCAAGAAGAAAGCTTTACTCAATTCCATTTTTCAATCTAAAGGTTCTTAAAAGTCTCCAAAGTAGAACCAAGTTTACCCAGCAGTGGCAATAGATACGATGGTCTAGAGTTGACTTTAAAAAAATCAGAAACATAAAGAAAGAGTTTTTTTTTGCTTTTTTTCAGACAGTCGTAGCTGGATGAGAATGAAAATGTTTGTGGAATGGGGAGCGAACAACAGTTATAAAAAAACCTGAATTTAGGAAATAGCGAGCTACCTTTCTTTCTTTATTTCATGAATTATTCAGTTCAAGTTGTATTCCAAATTTTAGAATTTATGTCTCAAGTGTGATACGACAATCCCTGAGAGACAATGTGAACGTAAACTGCAACAAAAACAAGCGTGGAACCATTGCTCGTGGCAAATTATGGTAAATTCATTGTCTGCTTTTGGAGGTAAATTGCAAATGGTGACGTGAAATATGTATTATTGACTACAAAGTGTTTGTCGATATTTATAAATTTTATGCATTCATTCACTTTGTGTCTATTTTTCTCATTCACAATGTGCATATGTATGTACATATTTCGTGAATGCACAATAATTACGATGTGTACTATAACGCCCCCTGTTCTAACTATGGGGTTTGCGTGTCCCTGTCCACACCCACTTTCGTGGATGCCCC